TTCAACAACAATTTGCTAACGTACACATTTTAGAAAGAGAGGAACAACGAGAAAGGGAAAAGAAATATCAAACCATTACCGATGCAATAAAAGAGAAAAAAGAAAAAGATGATCTATTAGAACAAAAGACAAAGGAGTGGTTGAAAAAGCAAAAATACAATCAAATGGTTGCTCGCTTTAGACCAAGAGTATACAGTACACCAGATCGTAAACAAATTCCCTTCGATAACGAAGATGAAGTGGAAACTGAAAACGTTCAGAACAAATCAATCAGACAGTTGGTGGACTCAAATGTAATCAATTTGGGCAGTGTTGGTGCGAGATACTTACCTCGTGCAAGTGATTCACAGTTTGGTATTTATTATGATGTGACGAGTGAACGTTTGAAAATTGGATCAGAACCAATCACCTTTAATTACGATGATATAGTGATGTCAGGTAAAAGTTTTGTCGGCAGTGAAGGTCTTTGGAAACTCTTGACGAATAAAGGTTTTGTTAAGTCTGATCAGTACACATCTGACGATTGGAATTCATACAAGGAAATTCTGTTGACATCCAACTCGTTGTATCAAAAGAACGATCCCTCGACTAGACGACCGAAATCAAGTCAGGGTCAAAAGTGGAAACAGATGATCAAACCCATTTGGGATGAGATGAATAAATCCACAACCCCAACTACATCAACACCCACAGAGACAGTTGGGTCTGGGTTGAAACGGTACGATGACAAAACACCAATCGAATATCGGTACATAAAGGATTTAAACGAACTGATCAGTCGGCTCAATTTCATACATGCTGAGGAGGCTGCTGGAAACAATAACTTTCACAACGAGAAACTGTCAGTCGTGAAATTCATATACGACCGCATGCAGGAGCTAATCGAACGACCAAACGGATTGAAGTATCTCATACGCTGTCTGTCAGCGTTACCTGAACACGCTATTCAAGGATCGGGGTTGTTGAACAACTTAATCAACAGTTTACCGTTTGAGCTACACGCTCCACGTAGTTGGAATCTTGATACGTACAATTATTGCGGACCTGGTACGAAGCTATCTGATCGCCTGGCTCGTGGTGACAAAGGAGTCAACCCCTTAGACGAGGCGTGCAAGAAACATGACATGTGGTATCGGGATCATAGGCGTGCCGAAGACCGATGGGTGGCAGATAAGAAATTGCAAGACGCTGCTTGGAACAGGGTCACGTCTTCTGACGCCGATCCAAACGAACGCGCGGTCGCACTCGGTACGACTGGTGCAATGTGGATGAAGCGCAAACTCGGTCTCGGGCTAGGAACGTCTGTATGTATATAAGTGAGAGAAAGAGTACAACATGGAAAACGCATGGACGATTCTTTCTCGGGAAGCGAAAGCACCTAAGGGCGTTCTCACAGACGAGTTCGTTATGAAGTACGCTAAGGAGCTCGACTGGGGTCTCCTATCCGAAAACTACGATTTCAGCATCGACATGTTACGCACGTATTTCCATCGTGTAAACTGGTATGCCGTACTGAAGAGGACAAAGTTCGATGAGAGCTTCCTCCGGGAAATGGCTATCAACTTTAACGAGTGCTGGTATGTGGTCAGCAAATATCAAACACTGTCTGAATCATTCATACACGATTTTGCAGGCAACGTAGATTGGTACTACATCATAAAGTATCAAAACGTCTCCAAGGAATTCCTCGAAGAACACGAACGTAATCATGGATTTAATACACGACTCTTGAGTTCGCTACTGAGCATGAGGTCTAAAGAGTAAAATCGTAATGTTAACATAGTATATTTTTTTCGACCTTTATTAAGTAACCAACACAAATGGATGCTACATACAATCAGTTTTCAAGCGGTGTGGTGAAGAGCGAATACCGCTCTGTCATGCCGGTGTCTGAACTCAATTTCAACACTCCAAATAATTACACGGTTTTTAAACTCGATCACGGTGACACATTTTACGATTCAGGAATACAATTTCACATTTGTGGTAAAGTCGTCAAGAAATCTGACGGGGCTGCTTATGCTGATAAAACAAACATCAAACTCATCGACAATTTCGTACCGTTTCTGTTTACTCGAATTGAACTCAAGAAACACAACACCACAATCGACACTGTCGACTATCCTGGTGTCACAAGCACGGTCAAGGGAATCCTCAACTATTCCAGTTCGAACAAGAACTCTTTAGGAAATTGTGGTTTCGTATCCACGTTCACTGGTGGTGGCAACTTCGAAGTAATTGGTACCCTTGCCCACCTCGGTCTCGGCTTCTTCGATCATCTACGGTATCCAATGTACAAAGGTGGATTCGAAGTCGTATTCACCCGTGCTGAAGATAACGATGCACTATTCGTTTGGAAAGGATCAGCCGCAACAGACACGATACCAGAGGATGGAAAAGTCGAAATCAAATCTTTCGTTCTTCGAGTTCCGTTAGTCGAGTATACGGCCACCAGCAAGATTCAATTGATCGATGGGTTGACCCGTTTGAGTGATCATAGCAAATTGGTATACAACTATTACCAGTGGCAGTGTATTGAGAAAAAAGGTGTTTTCGGGGCCTCGTTCAACTTCGATATCACTAACGTTTATAGAAAAGTATACAACCCAAAATTTGTCATTGTGGGGTTGCAAACTAGCCGTTGGAATGACCAGAAGAAAATTCCCTCCCGTTTTGATAGTTGCAACATAAAAAATGTCGCAGTGAAAATAAACGGAGAACGTTATCCTCAAGAAATGCAGAACATACACATCACTGAAGGCAAATGGAGACTGTTATACGAACAGTTAGTCAGATATCGTCTGGTGAACTTTGGAGACACCAATGTGTTCGTATCTCCTTCAGAGTTCAAGAATGATTATCCACTGTTGGTGATAGACACTCATCTCCACCCAATGAGCACAGATCGCTCGAGAAGTGACATCCAGATTGAGTTAGATTTCGTAAACGCTATCGCGACCACGCAAGCCGATGCCGGAACAACAGCATACGTAGTCGTGGTCTCTGAAACTGGATTCAGTTATGACATTTCAAGAAACATCATTAGACAACTGTAAACAATTTCTAGAAGATCACTATAAGAAAATAAAAAACAAAAAAAAATATTATTTTTGCCCCAGAGGAATGAGGCAAGGGTTGGAATTGTCTCCATAAGGTCTATATTAAACCCCAGCACAGGACAAACATACATACTCCATGTGGGGCGGTTGGAGAACACCTCCGGATTTTGTGGGGAGGTATTCCCATAAGAGCCCATATAAACTCCGGGAGTAGGACACAGATATATATACTACTAGGGAAAGTGGTGGTGGGTCTTCGTTACCTCCCAATTTTGACTCCCATAAGGGTCTATATTGGATCCCAGAGTAGGACGAACATATATACTCTACTGGCTGGAAGGGAGGGAGCTTGAAAATGGGCAAATCTCTAGTCTACTGGAGGTTGGTGCAGAAACAACTTTTCGATGAGTGGAAGAGTAAACAGATGAGAATCCCTGGTCTGTCGGGGTTGATCCAGAACCGGCTTTTCCCTACTACTAACCTTCTTACCTTGTAACTAAACTTATAGTAGCCATGGGCAACGACAACTGTAAAGAGGACACGGACTTGACAAGCAGGGGTGACAGATGGAGTAAGGGGGAGAGTGAAATGGTCCGATAAAAATAAAAACTGTTGGCAACAATTTACTTTGGTGCAACTGCTTACTTTGTACAATTTGTCCCATAATGTTAGCAGAGGTTTTATGAGCACAATGTGTTGTCAATCACAAGAAATGTATTAATTATTTACGAATGAAGACAATTAATTTGTTTGAAATAGGGTAAAATACACAATTATCTTAGGTCTGGTAATAACTTCTTATAATAAGAGGAATAAATTATACAATTTTATTCAATTAATAACAGATCGAGTAAATTTTTAGAAAACGAACCAAAATTAATACATTGCGTTATGAGCATATAAAACAAAGACCAGCTAAGTAAACGTGGTAATGAATATTGTAAATTTTTACAAACTGACAACTATTAGGACAGATTTCGGAGTTTGGGTAAAATTAGTTTGAAACTATAGCTAGTTCTTAGCTAAATAGTTTTAGACTAAAAATCGGGGTTGGGAGTTAAGAATTAAACATTTAATGCGAGGATAATTTAATTAAATTTGATTTTGGACTAATTCAAGAATTATGTCGGGAACCGTGGGGAAATTTTGGTTTTTCAGTTGTGGTACCATGATGTAATGACGATTTATATGTACTTCGCTTCATCAACGCACAGAGCGCACCTCTCTCTGTTTCAATTAAATTCCCAAATTTACATTTTGCAATGGTTACAACAGGCAGCCTATCTCTAGCAGACAAATTTTACTGTTTCATTTGAATCTATTTTTTTTGTACGTTTGGCTGGTTTTAACTGAGTTTGAGTAACCTCTGGTTTTAAACCAACGTTTATGACTCTGGCAATATTATGATTGTACAATATTGCCATTCATTAATATCGTCTGTTGTCACTTTTACAGTTATCTATTTCTGTATTGCGACATTTTATACGTGAAATAAAAATATTCCAAAATTTTCTACGAAATTCCTGTATAGTTCTCAGAATTCCTGTTGCTTAGACACACTGTTAAAACTAAAAGCACTACTACTGAAACACTAGAATAGATTAAAGTGATAAACATCCACTCAGCAACAGGTGTCTGTTCGCACTGGACACAAGAATAACAGAGAGGTATGTACTAAGCAGGCCTGAGGAATAATATGCAAACCGAAAACCAAGGTCAAGTATAATCGCCTGGTCTGAAGACCGCTGCCTATCTCCAGTGCAGCGTAAGAGGTTGTGCTAACGCACCCTATCCCTCTTAATCCTGCAGTACTCAATCGCCCACACAGGAACAATTCAGATAACATTGAAGTTATAGCCGAAGGTCTGAGTTATTGAGACCATACTGTATCGAATGGTTTAAAACACATTAATTAATCCAAACAGAGTATAAGAAACTTACCTGGATACAATTTCTCGATAGTGCGGAATATCCTTAGCAAATAATAGTTTGTTGGAGGGAGAGTCTTTTCCGAGCCTATGGTCTGTTGTTGAACAGGCGTCCATAAAGGTTTGTGCGATCACAGACAAGCATGAATCCACTGGTGTGGTTTTGTTGATGTCGAAGATGAAATCTGGATTCTTGATGAAGTTTACCCAAAATCTCAGAGGAAGACTGGAAAAGAATAAGTTAATTAATTTGATATAAGGGATATATTTTACTTTAAGCATTGTTACGGTACTAATGATATTCTGGTTTATTTTCAGAAAATAACGCTTTTTAGGAATTGTGTGCAATTTCCACAGAGCCACTTGCATACCTCTAATTATAACTTGTGGGTAGCGTGAGGCTGAATAGGGTATTTATGAAAAATTGTATTTACCTTTACTTATAAATATAATGATATTCTGGTTTATTTTCAGAAAATAACGCTTTTTAGGAATTGTGTGCAATTTCCACAGAGCCACTTGCATACCTCTAATTATAACTTGTGGGTAGCGTGAGGCTGAATAGGGTATTTATGAAAAATTGTATTTACCTTTACTTATAAATACCCGAGTATTTTACATTGTAAGGTCCCAAATTGGAAATAAGATTGAAATTTTGATTAAAGCGGGAAACGGTGTTACCGGCATTGCCCACTAGGGTGGGTCGAAGAAAAATCAATAATTTTCTTTCGAGTTGTAATACGTTGGAAAAGTTGCTAAATTGTAAGACCAAAACAGGGTAAAAATATTAAAAATATTCGTTGTTATCTTCTGGTCGCGCATGTGCTCTAAAGTTTGAACAAAAATGAAAAACTCATATTTTATCAGAAATTTTTACAATTTTTAAATTTTTGATTTTTAATATGTAACAGTTGAAAATGTCATCTACAAGTATAGTATCCTACATTCATGGTTCAACCAATTATAATTCATGGTTTTCTAACAACAATTTATGTACCACACATACCTAATTAAAACCTTTTACTAGGTTTATGTCACAAAAAAAAATACAGTTAAAATAAAGGCTTTTACCTATTTTACTCCGAGATACTCTAAATGGCCATGATAAAGTGGTTTTAAAATTAGGATAAGAATTGTTAGGAATGAACAAACATGCATGAAGCATTAATTTGACAAAATAATTTCACACAACTGGTAAATTATTTCCAACCAACACATATCTAGTTGTTTTTAAACTTTTAAAAAAATATCAAAGCATTCAGTATGAAGACTGTGTAGTTTGCCAGCTGTTCACATTCAACAGACGACAATGAAAAGCTGGAAGTTATGGTATACCTTTTAGTTTGTAGGTCTGATTCCATCCTCTCATTTTATGAATGTAAACCAATTGAAATTTTTAGTGGCTTTAATTTGGGCAATGATGATGACCAATGATTGACAGAGTGAATGATAAAATCGTAAGGTCTGAGCCTAGCCTATTAACAAATTAAATTAAACCCTGTACACACCCAACTTGTAGCAGATTAGAGGCTTATAAGGTGTAGATTATACCCCCTCTGAATTAACACATTACATCATCTCTAATTACAGTCTCAATCACAATCAGTTCTTAATACAACTTCCAAACAAAAAATTTGTGATGATAAATTAGTTACAGTTTTCCTATCACTTCACTAACCTATTTGATTTCCAAGCATGGACTACTTCTGGATCGACTATGTTATGTCGCCGAGCTGCCTCATCAAAAAGGTCAAACAGCCATTTTACTGCTGGAGGCAACGCTTCATTAGCAGTTAAGATGGTCGTGAAGAAGTCATCAACAAACTTCTGAATTGTGCCTTTAGTGGAGAGAAGACGGGTGAGGAATATTTCCGGGATTGCTTTGTGCGTTCGTTCCGTACTTTTGTTGCTCATGTAACCGTGATCATCAGGAGGTTTAACCAGATGGTAAATGTGCATGTTAGATCCAGCCTCAACATCTCCGTTACTTGCAATTATTGGGGACAATGAATTCCCCAAGTATGTGCTCGTACCTGAAACATTACCAAGTAGCTCTACGTTATCACAATATATGAGTGTCTTCACTATGGCCTTTCAGAGTAGGGATGGTTGAGGAAATTTAGTGAGTTTTACATAATGGACAGTGTAAAAATAGGAAGAATATGTGGCATGTTGCTATGGTATCTTTGGTCATAAACTGTTTTAATGTTTTGTCATCTCATTCCTTCTTTTGCTTTATACTTACAAACATGCAAAATCAATTTTCTTAGTTGTCATTAGATGACTTGAATTTTGCAATAGCCTAATTAACAAAACACCTATTTAACACAAAACATTGCTGGTATGGTCTTAGAGCCATACTATTAACTGAGCCACAGATTAAACAGAGGATCATAATTTAAAAATCTACTAAGGATAAATTTATTTATTGTATGGTGGGTAGCAAAAAATAATGAAGTAATAATAATAATCCATATTATTATGTCATACTAGCATTGAACTGAACTTAAAGAATAATAATTGAGTCATCAAGTGAGTAAGATATACTAATAATATTTACAATAATACATTTATTAGGACTAATTTTCATAAAATAAATGAGATAGACTTTTGGAAAACAAAATTTAACTGTTTTCTCAAAAATTGGCAACCAGAAAGCGAGATTTGGTTTCTATATTTTAGGCATCATTTTTATAGAAATTACAGAGTTAGAAATAAAGAGTAACACCCTGAATTTTTTTCCAGCCCTTTTAACAGCTCAATTATATTTAAATTTATTGTATAAACTCAAAAAGAAATTATCTTTAATCTCAATAAACATATAATTTATATTATAATACCTAGTGTCAAGGTCATTGTATTATTTTTTTTATTTTCCTAGTTAATATTTTTAGGATCATCAAAATTTAAAATGTTGAAAAGAACATAGGACATTTCAGTCAATGAAAATGGATTTTAATGACTTACAATTATGACAAGGCTGCTTACAGTTGGCGTTGAAACCATCATTCTGTCGTGGTATGACGGACATGACCGCAGATTCCTTGACACCGTAGTGTGCTAAGGTGTTTAGTTTGCGCCAGCCACAAACAGACTTTGTTGTCAGATCTTCATCTTGCAATGTCAAATGTCCCCCTCTTCCATGTCTCCATTCTGAAAGAGAACATATGTCATTGTCATTGATGATGTTGTATTCTTCATTTTACAAATCATTGAACATTTACTGATTATTGAGATTATTTTATGTACTGTTTAATAGTTTGAAATGAAATGAAATGAAATGAAATGAAATGAAAATCCTTTAAGGATCATTTTATGTACTGTTTAATAGTTTGTATAATGGCCAAGAAATATAAAAAACATAAATGTTCCACAAAGTAAAGAAACGTCGTATCTAGAGACATATTGAACTGGTTTAAATCAAAATAATAAAATGTCACGTTTTCAGTTAAATCCCATGTTTTGTTCCTTTCTAATGTTGACCTGTAATTTGGCCTCTCAAGTACTGGTCATCATGAAATTCTTTAAAACCCCTATTACATTATAAAATTACCAATTAACACTGCTGCAATGTTCAATAACATATACCAGAGCCAAAAAATCTTTTGGAGAAGAAAGGTAACTGTATCTAAATAAATGAAAAATAATGCCAAAATTTCTGAAAGACTGACCGGGATGTTCAGTTGACTGTGAAACCAGAAAAAATCTTAATTGTATGTACAATTTTTGGGATCGGGGAAAGTCTCTGAATTATCTATATGGAACCGGTAAATACATAATTACCACCTATGAAAAGCGGCCTATGAACGAGAGTCCATTCATTAATGGCATTTTGGTAACTTTAATAGTCATCGAGATACTTGTTCACTCTGGTGTAACTTGTTAAATTTTAGCAACATTTATCAAAGAACAGATCTTAATCTAAAATCATACAACCTCTTGATTTTTTTTAGGTAAGGTATCAATAAACTTTATCCCTTTAAAGAAATTAGGGTACATTTGACAACTTGAATCATCTTTTATCTTTTCCTTCAGTTTAGTTTACTGTAGCCTACATCTCAATCTTAAATTTGTGCAAACTACAACTTATTTAACCTTCAACTTAATCCACGACTATGACAGTACCTAAATCTAACTCATGTATGGATGGCCGCATTGAGAAGGGTGTATTCTTGTAAAGAGCGTCAAGGATCTTGGATTTGACCTGACTAATTGTGTCACAGTCCAAAACCTTGCACTGAATCTTCTCATCCATATCATCTTGCATCACATGAAGAGTCTAAAAGCAGGGGAAAATGTGAATTATTAATTAAATAAATGAATAAGAACTACTAAGAGTTAAAAAAATTTACAGAACACTTAAAGAAGTAGTTTATTATCTATTATAGATTTATAGCCTACGTTTACGTTTTAAAATTCAATCAAATTAACACCATAATTAGTAGGGATGGACGGGATTGAATTTTTAGTTCGGGACGGGACGGGACGGGATTTTTATTTCCTTCCCAATTTTCGGGACGGGACGGGACGGGATTTTTTCTGTGCATAAAAAGAAAGTACTGTATTGCAGTTACCAAAAAAAGACATACGAAATCTATTTTTACCATTTGTGGCACTGATCTATAAAAACCAAAAAATGGGTAACAATTTACAGGTACCCATAGTAACTTGTGACTCGCGGGTCACGGGGTGATCGTCTGTATGACTCACGGTCACGGCGAGATCGTCGTCATGACTCGCGATCACGGCATGATCGTCGGTATGACTCGCGAACACGGTTCGATCGTCAGCATGACTCCGCGGTCACGGCGCGATCGTCGTCATGACTCGCGGTCACGGCGCGATCGTCGGTATGACTCGCGGTGACAGCGCGATCGTCGGTATGACTCGCGGTGACAGCGCGATCGTCGGTATGACTCGCGGTCACGGCGCGATCGTCGGTATGACTCCGCGGTCACGGGGTTATCGTCGGTATGACTCGCGGTCACGGCGCGATCGTCGGTATGACTCGCGATCACGGCTCGATCGTCAGCATGACTCCGTGGTCACGGCGCGATCGTCGTCATGACTCGCGGTCACGGCGCGATCGTCGGTATGACTCGCGGTCACGGCGCGATCGTCGGTAGGACTCCGCGGTCACGGCGCGATCGTCGGTATGACTTCGTCTCCTACGTTCGTGGACCTATCGCTCGCAATAACGGCGTTATCGGCACTCGCGAAGCGGAAAAATCGCCGACGATCGGACCAAATCCCGTCCCGAAAAATTCCCGAGTCAAATGTAATCCCGTCCCGATAATCGGGAATATTTTTTTCCCGAAAAATTCCCGAAATTTCGGGACCCGTCCATCCCTAATAATTAGTGATGTGTTGATACAAAAATTGATCCCTTTTTGATACCGATACCTGATAAATATATTCTCAATTTTTGATACGGTACCATTTTTTAAATAGTTTTACCAAATTTGTTGAATGTTTTTATGTCCTCCCATAAAGTATTTTAGAGTAAATGGAGTGTTTTTTTCAAGTAAAGACAGATGAATGCAGCTATGACAAATTTTAACTAGCCAATTTAAGTTTAATCCCTTCTAAACACATTATCAATAACTACCATGTCAGAGTTAAATGAATATCTAACAAAAAATCCAAAAGAAAATTTTATTTTAACTAGAGGGGTGCCAGCCTATTTTTTTTCAGTCAAGACAAACTCGAGGTAAAATCATGATCATCTCCCGCGGTCGTGTAGACATCATAATTGACTCCCGTCGTTACGGAAACGTCATCTTCGTCTTGCACGATGGCGGAAAATTCATAAATATTTTTCAGCCGAGTAGACATAATCATCGTCTTCCGCAATCGTAGCAAAATTCTGTTTGTCTCCCATTGTACTGTAGACATCATCATCGTCCCCTGCAGTCATGGAAACGTCATCGTTGCCTTGCACGATCGCGGTCAAGGTTAAGAATATACAAATATTTATTGTGGTCAAGGTTAAGTCGATACCGGCAATAGCAATGTTTTCTACAAAGCAACTGAAGGTATCACCACAACCAATAGAACTCTCTGTGGTATCACTGAATGCGAGAATTGAGAGACGTTGGCCGCCATATTAGGGGAATAGTACTTTGGAACTAGGGGATTGTGGGATTGCCAATAGCCACTGAGCTGGTTGATTGTTCTAGTGGTACCAGCATAACAACGTTTTACAGCGTTTCGATTTTTTAGCAGAGTTTATGTAACAGTGCTACCTCCATTTGGATTTTTTCAGTCTGACTATTTCGTTTCGTAAAAAGCAAGAGCGGTTCCCTGATTCCGTTTACTTATCAGACTTGGATACGATAAATAACTGAGATCGCACGATAATTTTGAGACGGCATGAACTACGTCGATTGTCTGATTCAGATTTCAAACATGGATGATACGAACAACAAAACATTGACAATGGCAACTTCCTAAAAAATATGAATTTTTACATGGAATTGGTATCAAGAAGTATGAGTGATATTTCAGAACTGGTATCGAATCGAGAAATTCTGTTATCGGTCTATCCCTATTTAAAATACAATTAATATTCGAATAGGACGTAATTCAAGTTCAAGCCATGACTTTGAGCTTTGAGACAGAGTTTGGCTTTGTTCCAGCTATGTATAGATCGACAATGCTGCTACCCTGTTACAGGCTTCATGTTATTATAGAATAGAGCTGGCAGCGACCGGCGAGTCAGCGTATTTTGTCGGTAGACCCGAGATTCGATTCTCGAATCTGTTTAATCTCTAATCTGAATCTTTCGTAAATATGCATTCACTATAAAATTTTTGGGATAAATTGGCTCAAAATTGTTAGAACTATAAAATTCCTTGCAAATAAACGTACATAATGATAATAGTTGAAATTCAAGGAAAATCCCCGAATAATACAATTTTCACGTATATTTCCTGGTTTTTTCACGACGGTTAAAATTCACACATGATTCTCGATTTTCCGGTCGCTGACAACCCTGTAGAGACCTTCAGCCTTGAAGGAAACCATCATATCTCGGCTCCCCAGTGGATAAATGAATGTTTTCAAAATAATAAATGCTGTATGGAAACCTTTCTTTTTACATTTCTTATGAAAGTACGTATATATGTATATATTTCTAACAACAACAAACTTGATTTTTTTTATAAAACATTGGTAGCTGGACTGTCAACAATATTTTCATCTAATGTATAAAGTGAAACCCACTGGAAGTATAATTACCACAACACTATGATCAATCTGCTCGCGTAACAGCCGCTCCTCTGACAGGGAATACCTGGCGTCATGTGTGACTGCATCTACTGGACCCTGCAACAGACAATATAATCTGGTTAGTCATAAGCCCAGAACAAGATAATAAACACATAATTTCTAGCTCTGAAAAAGCCAAATATTTCTAAAAATGTCCTATTATTGTATTGATAGGATACTAATATTGGTTGCAGTCTAAAAATATTATTGCACTTATGTTTGCTGATACTGATTATTTAAAAAAAAAATTGTTTTCAAACCACTCCAATATTTATTGAGAAAGTGCGATGTGAATTGTCATTCATGTTTAGCTTTGCTTAGAGCCTATTGAAGGAACTTTTTTTATAAAGTGCACTGTAATTGAAGTTGATGAATCTGTCGAGTCCGTTTTGTAAATTATGACTTTCTCATCTACAAAAACCAAAAACCAGCAGCTAACTTACAAACTTAGTAGTGTGACAAAAAATAAATTGTATCAAAAGTACCTTACAATATGAAAAACATATATTATTTACCTTCATAACTAATCGCTCATGGAGGCAAAGTTAAGTAATTTATGAATTAATTGGAAAGCAATATATCTTTTAAGTGATGAATTGTGGTACACACCTTCTCAATCTGATGTTTGATGGCTTTGTACAGTAGGAAGAGTGATGATCCAGCATAGTCCTTGAGGTATTTGTACATACAAAGAGCCATCCAGTTAGTGAGCATCTTCTCAACAACAGATTCAGTTCTGCGCAGCATTAGCTGTGGATGTTTGGTGGAGACAGACTTTTCCATCAACCTCAAAAGCAAGTTACGCAGGATATCTGTTGCATACTCCATCTTGCCCATGAGAACCACCATTAACAATGATGCGACGTTCACCCTGAAGGCAAAAGTATCTTCAGAATTGGAAAAAAGTGATGTGTTCCAAAAATACTTTTTGGAAGAGATGATGGGCATCAAATTTTCAGAAATCAAACTTAATCGTGTCACTTTCTAAAGCAACATTTAACTTTTTACGTGGTGTTTAAGATGTAAATTATGTAAATAAAATTAACGAGATGAGGAAATTAAAAACTTTTAACTTAGATCATAATTAAAAATTATATTCCTTACATTAAAATGCAGCACATAGTTACAAATTATCATTACCTTGGTATGGGTCATATAATCTATAATATTAATACACTCCATGACACTTTGTGAACAATAAGGGTTTTTTGTTTTAAGATTTAACCCCACATATTATATACCAAAATGTTCGCCTTGGTTATGTAGATTTGCAAACTGACCTTACATTTTTTTAAGTCCCTTGGGCTCTACCCCAGTGGCTTTTTAAGTTCCGATGTTATCCTTATGAAGAACATATTTGTTTACATTATGATCAGCTGGATAATTCAATTGCTGTCGCGATTTAAGGAAACGTGCTACAAACATCTATTTATTTGGTTGAAATTAAATATTTATTATTTGAATTTGGGTTGGCGTAAATATTACAATAGAAAATGGCGAGAAAGTCTGGGCAATTTGATATACTAAATAGCTTATTCCCTATATGGGAAATTCACTAAAAGAAAACTGAATCAACACTGTGCTGCATTTCTTGAGCAATCATTGAAAGAGCCGATTTGCAAACTATGGAAACATAGGAAAGTCATAGAACACCACCAAGTAGAAGAAATAGAAATAATGTTTTTTTTTTTAAGAACTTATAATCGTAATTATGGACAACCTAATGCGGCTATGGCTATGGGTGGGGGACATTTGTAAAAACCCCAAAAAAACAGGATCAGGTTTTGAAAAATGATAAGATATTTACAAGAAATGTTAATTATATCGAACTGTTATGTACATCGTGAGAATTTCCATAATATTTGAGTCAACTCTTTTAAAGTCATCGAAAATTATGACTGTAGTTTGTTTTAAAATAACGCCTGTAATACTTCCCAATTGCTCAAATTCGGGCAACAGGTACACTAGTTTTTAATTTATTCAGGTATCATATTTAGTCAGAAGACAGCAACTGTTGCTAGCTTAATGACAAATGCCGACTAAAAATAAATTATTACCATCCCCCTTTGATAAGCATTTAAGATTTAAAACAAACTAAGATGAAAAAGTTATAGTTTTTTAGTAGACACAATGAACACAAGCTGTGGAAAAGTGAAAATAGTATATACTTACTTATCTCGTATATTGAAAGACTTTTGAGCTTCTAATGTTTCTATAAAATTAAGAATAAAATTCTTGTTGTTGATCAAGTGTTCAAACTGGACCATGGCGGCATCATAGTTTGTGGGAGGTCCATTTATCCTGACCTGAAATCAATGTACAGAAAATCAGTTAATGCTTCCCAACATAACAAGAAAATTAAGAGATGAGTACAAACTTTGTTAGTACATAAAATATTGGACATTAAATTAGGGTGAGACATAAGGATTTACATGGTTTGAATTAATATGAAAGTAGGCTATAATAAGCGCATAGATCGATTGGCGGTGGAACAGTGCGGGGGAGTGTTCTATACCATGTCTATACGTGTCCCCACATCCTACCTTTTAAATTCCTGCCTAAATGTTTGTGTTTACATGTTTTTATTCATTCTATTGTTTTGCAAAAAAACTGACATGTTCTAAATGAACAAAAATTGACCCTTTGTGGCCTAATGAAGATCCCTGGCACCTTATGACAGTAAGAGTTGAAACTGGTAGCCTAGACAGGACTAGAGGAAAACCCGACCAACCGAAATAAAAGGGGGCAAAGCCGTTTCCGATAACCTATTTTTCTGATAATAAATGGTAGAATTTCAAAGACTATGTCTATTCAAAGACATCTAGCCTGGTATGCGGCAGATGATAACCAAGACGCCTCAATCACAAAGACGATGACAATGTCGACATTTTAGACTTGAAAGCTTTTCTATTGTTCGTATAACTAACTTTCCCAGTTAAACCTCTGCTGACGTTTATGGTATCATCTCGAGATTCCCTATTATTGCTGCCAACATTGTAAGTTGAAGTTCATGGGGATATTACTTACTCATTTCGCGCTCGCAGTAACATTGAGGGGTTTTCTGACCTTTGTGGCTCATGGCTAGTAGCTTCGATGACATTTCGGTGACAAATTTAGCCTCATACGAACGTCTTAAAAAATTCGAAAAAATTCCAAACTTCAGTTTGGGATAGGCTGGCTTTTTAATAGGGGTGTGCGAAGCAGCAAAAATCTTTCGATTGGATACAATGATTTGATTCAAAGAATTTTCTATTTGAATGGGTGCATTTAGATTCAAAGCAACACAGCATTTTTCTATTCATACTTGCCAATGGAGTGAAGTAACAACAATTAAAATTTACCAGATCTGTGTTCTAAAATTTTTGTTGATGTGGTATTTGACCTATATATGTACACATAAATATGACTTATTTGACTTTCAGTTGAACAAATATTTATTTATTTTTTTTGATAAATTGGAAGTATTGCTAGAAATGTCAGTGAATTACTTGCCTATATCATAACTTTTATGTGCAGCATCATATTTTTAAACAAATTACCTATTTTTTATACTATGATTTTACATTTTAAGACATGTTTTGTTTATAAGAAATAAAAACCTAGAAAAGATTTTTTTATACTGAAAATTCAACTGGTTTACACCCATAGAATAAGAGGATCAGACCTACAAACTACAAGACTAACTCTTCATTGACAAAGTTCAGCTAAGTCCACTTGAAAAAGTTTTAGAAAAGATTAAAAATTTGTTTTTAAATTAATTTGTATAGGAAGTCATGTCAAGACTTAGGCATGTTTAAAGATGACAGGTATCATTTTAGATTTACTTGTTGATTATGAGCAATTTATGCTCATCGAAAAAACTGGTTTACTTATTCATCTTTAATCAAAAAATAAACTATCTATTTCATCTCATATCCCTTAACCTCCCCAAAAGTTATAGGCCTACAACAGGGACCAACCCAAAGACTACTACTGACTACCAACCCAACCTTCTATAGTGTCCTCTGGATACTCTGACCTGATAGACGACTCCAATCCCAGCCAATAGTGGCCTGAAATACTAACCCAACACTTTCTAGCTTGCAAAGTCTTACCACAAGTCATCAACCTAGCCTCTCCTCCATTCCAGTGATGTCTATTTTCTACTCAAACCATATTCTACTCATTCCAAAGCAGTACACTGTTACGTATTAAATAAAAATGGATTACCTTAGGATTATTGAGAATAGGATGATCTCTGACTCCTGGAAAGAACACTTTGAGGATGTATTCATTGTGATCCAACATGGGAATGCCAGAGGACTCAAGGTCGGCAGTCAAATCAGTCATGTCTGTTTGAAGTTCCGCAAAGGCTGAAACGTTACAAGAGTAATTCTAATGTTTGCCGGTGTAAACAATATACAAAGGTTTTGGTTTTATTTTCAACTGTTTCAATGTAAGTTTCGATCCACAATATTTAAAGTTAACAAATTTGAGATAACTTATTAGTGAACAGTGACTGAATAGTGAAAATATTGTTCTTAGTTGATATCACACTACAGTGAATATATTGTAACCTATCCAACTATTATGGGCCAGAGTATTCAAATGTAATTTCAGTTGGATGGGAAAGTTGCTTTCATTTAATCATATAACGGTGTGACAATCTCCCAGACTTTAGACGAGAGTGGAGTGAGTTCTCCCAGACAGTTTTCTCGCCTGAGAGACCTATCCTTTCTCTCAGTAGGTAGGACCTTCAACATGTATGATCTGAACCGCCAAGTCACAATACTATCACATAATCTTGTTAGTTGAGTTTTATTGCTGGATTTCTGTAACCAGCTTGAGACCACATGATACTTTTTCAAACTATACATAAGAAGATAAATTTATTACAATGACCAAATCTGTAAAAAATAGATTTTCTAAGACCAGCAGGAAGAACTTATAAATTTGAAAAAAAAAAATGCTGAGACAAACAAGTATATTGCAAATACCTCGGTTACAGCAAACCTTCATTGACTGAATGGTTTTTAAGTAAAATATTTCCTTAAACTTTACAGATTTGAATTAATAAATGGGCCAAAATAAATCTATAAACAATCAAACAACAATCCTTTGATTTTCCTCTAAATAATAACTTAGGTATTTTAAATGCACATTAAACAAATTTTTTTGCAACATTAAAATACAAAACAACGCTTTAACTTAAAATAAATATTTGTTTTAAAATCTCTACATGATGGTTGTAATGCAAATTGGGATGTTTTAAAGTAAGATAAAATAGAAAAACCATTTTAAAACCCCATAACACCCCGTTCTCATTGCCCAATCTTGCAGAATCGGACATGATTTACTTGAGTCCTCTGGGAACATAAAAATGTAAAAGTAAATCGGTCCCGGGTCTAGGTCCCACCGTGCCAATTACAGTAATACCGTAGCTACTATAGAAAAATTCGTTTAAATAAATATATTTGTTTGAAACTAATCAAAAGGCAACCAAACAAAAAAAGTTTATCGTTTCAATATTGTACTCGTTAAAACTGTCAGATATTAAAAATACCCCCGCCGCCGCAGCAAACCTGCTGACTAAGCGAATTTCCATTTGTCTTAATTGATTTTCAATTAAATCTTTTTAAATAACATTAGGTTTAACGAGTACCTAGGTTTGATGCCCCAAGGAAACTAATAAAGTGTTGTTTTTAGTAAATATTAATAGCTTAGTATAAAATAAATAAATTTGCCAAGTTTGATCAAAATATATTGATAAACAAGCAAACTAAAACGTTTTACAATATTCTCCATTAGAATAACATGGGAATTTTAAATTTAAATTTTTTTTTAATTTTCTCCGTTTTCAATAACCGTACAAAAACACTTTGATATACTAAATTGTTTGCTTTTTAAGCTCTTTAAAAAGGTCTAGACAAAAATTGGGAAATTTTGTGTTTTGAGGGTCAAAAATTACAAAAACCAATTTTTACCGCATAAAACTCCCCATTAATCTTCGTTCCCATGGTATGATCATGCTGGTTCACAAACTCATTCAAGCTTATCTCGCCTCACACCTTTAAACCAAATTTCATCAAAATCGGACAAAAATTACTCGAGTTATCGTGTTCACGGACACATATATAACCCTATATAATATGAACATAATTTTATACATATATAAAATTTCAACGAATAGCGTTTTTGGCCTATGAGGACATCAAAATGAAAAAGTAAATTGGCCCCGGGTCTAGGTCTTACCGTGCCACATACGGTAATAGCTACTTCCCTATAGGGAAATTTGCTAAAACACTGGGATGATTTCATTAAAATCACAAAGTCACACTAAAACAAAGGACGTATAAAAAAAGAGACTTGATATTCAGATGACTTAAGCATACATTAAATGAAGTAGTGAAACTAGGTCAAATGTAATAAATAATGCAGGCCCAACTGTGAAGTTTAGATTAGAAAATACTGTCAACTTACTCAGGGTTGCCACCAAAGTGAGATAAAAAAATTCATGCATAATTCAAGGTTTTCATTGGTAGTTTTGAAAAATTCATGGGGTATATGCTCGCACAATTTCACCATAAAAGAGTGTTGCCTAGTTCAGAATTGTACATTAATTTATCGACAATATATAGTTTTGTGTGCTACTATCAAATAAAACACATTTCATGTGTTTATTTTAGAGTTAAAAATAAGAATTTAATATAATTTATCCAGTCTAAAAAAGTAAAATCACGGATGAAAAAGGATTAATAAAAATCTTGTGTGTGATAATAAGATGTAATTATTAAAAAAAAATTGAAACATCTGATTTAACAACATCATAGGCCTAATGATAAATTCAAACGTTAGAAGAAATAATAAATAAAAAAATAAGTCGGATTGGTAGTTAGGTCTAGGCCTAACCTAAAAAACATTGCATCCAAACATAAAAGGTTTAACTTAGTTAATCCAGCAATGGCCTAGAACTTTACTGTCTAAACATCAAATTAAGATAATAGGCTACTATAAAAACAAATGTTAAGAACATGATCAAGAAACGGTTAACTTGGTAATGAATGGGCCATATCTAGGCCTACTAAAACGCACATGCAATTTATAACTTTATACTGTAACACAGTAGGCTAGCCTACATTGTAATCCAAAACTGAATCTTGGCTAAGGCCCGTATTACACTATCATAGTTCTATGACATATTTGATAATATGATATGTCATAGAACTATGATAGTGTAATACCGGCCTAAGTTAGGCCTGAACCAACTTTTATTTATTGAGAAGATTAAAGGTTACCGACTGACTGATAAAAGCACTCTAAAAAGGTAAGATTATGTAAATAAATATTTAGTTAAAGCTAAGAACGAAACAAAAGTAATGGAATGTATGTAAGTTTAGACATAGGCTAACTTACATTAAGTAATAAAAAAATTATTAATTACATTACAGATAAGGTTAAAATAAACTTAGTTAGGAGGATGTTTCTTCAGATTGGATCAGTTTATATATTATTATTTGCCTACACAGGTTTAAATCACAGTTAAAACAATTATTTAATTAAATTTACATCTCATTAAAAACTTAGATTCGTATTGACTGAAAACACCTAAGTTAGTTATATGCTTCAACCAAACATTTACATTTACCTTCCTCAGAACGAAATCACCATTTTTCAGCACAACATTGACTTCTTGCAACTTAGGCCTAAATAAATAAACTTAATCTCACGTTGTAACACATTTACTCAGCCCTGACAGTAGTTTGAAATGACGACATATTTGACCAAAACAAACACAGAAGACGATTAAGTTCCAGCCGGCGCAAGCCATTTTGACCTTTATGGCAAGGCAAGGTACTTCTTATTTTAACGTTGTAAAGTATCGGAAGTATAATATATCAGTAATAAAAAATATTTAATCTGAACACTTGTTCCACTGAGTGTTGGGTAATCAATTATAAGAAGCACAAAACTGAATCACGAGTGCAACAAGTGATCTTACTGTCCAGTGTCCACCACCGGTCCACCACTACTTCAAACTTCAAACGTTTGACTCGTTTCTAAGTTTCAGATCAGTTTAAAACTTTTAGGTTATGGTTACTCTGTATTTCCATCCACACGAACACTAGAGTAGAGAGTGAGTAGAGAATGAGAGCGAGCATCAATTCCGATTGTCGATGTTTTCGAAACATCGATGTCTTTACTATCGATGTTCGAAGTTATTTGTTTACATCGATGGTAGATTACCGAACCGATGATTTGGTTTGTTACATCGGTCTTTTAGGCCAACAAAAGTAATGAAATATGAAATATTGATGTTTTCCGTAACTGAATTGTATTGGTTTTAGGTTAATTGGCTGTTACAGTGCAGAGAACAGACAACAGACGAGAAACTCGGAACAAACATCGATGTGATCGATGTTTTAGCTCCGAAAGCATCGATTTTATCGGTAGATCGGTACTCGCACAGACAATAACTCGGTGGTAGAGATGGGCGTTATAACATAACAGGAATAACAGGATGAATAACAGTGTTGCGGCCACGGCAACGTTATCGCGGCAACACGTTGCAGAGAACTCCCTGTTATTATAATAACGTATCTATCTACACAATGTTGCAGGAAAGCCGCGCGACAACGAAAACGAAAACATGCATTGCCATTAGTGCCGTTGCCGCAACGCTACCAGAGCAAGAGCAACGATAACTTCTGAAATGAACTAGAATAACGCATCCTGTCTGGACAACGCGGCAACGCCCGACTCCCGAGTCCCGACTACAACTGAAAACTGAACTGATCAACCGACAATGATAACTGAACGCCGCAACAGCAACACCGACCGGCGGACAACGGTTTATAGCGGCAACGAGTTGGCAATCGTTATTGAAATAACAGGTTGCCGCAATACGTTATTGGGCAGCTGCGTTATCGTTATAACCGTTGCCGGAAAACAACGATAATTCCCATCTCTAGACTACTCGGCTGACGTCGGTTGCGACCGGATTTGACCTTGAATAAACTACGCAATCGTTTCTGTTCGTGCCATGGCAACAAAACTTTTTATCTCGACACTCCCACTTTGACGTTTTATCTCGGTGTTCATTTCGAGAATGGTTTTAATACGGAGTATTTGATTCAGCGCATTTAGGGGTTTTGGCTGAATTGTTAATAATGATTTTGAGAATTCATGGTCCAATGACGAAATTCACGCATAATTCACGCACTTTTTCATGGTCACCTAAATTCACGCATAATTCACGCTTTTCAAGGTTTTCATGGCTGGTGGCAACCCTGTTACTTGAAAAAGTTAGATACGTACGAGCATTGAAATATTTTTGAAAACATAACTAGGATTAAAGTTAATACTCTCCCCCATAGAATGGGGGATCTTTAATACAATTATTAACAGTATGGTTAATTTTGTTTCATCATATAGTTTGCATACACTTTTAACACAACTCGGTAGTATAGAAAGCCATGTGATTATTGATTCAAGAGCTATGGGGGTTAAGTGTATTTACTCCAAAATGAAAAGCAGTTAAAAACATTGCCAAACTTGTGCGCTCACACACCACCCACCTTCAAATGATCTCCCGTACATCTTTAGGCAATGTTGACTTTGACAGGAACATAAATTATAAATGGTCTCAGGTCTACGCTGAGTTGGTGGTCCATCAACTAAGCTTGGCGAACATAGTCGCTTTTCATCTACATAAATACATTTGGGTATTGTGAGTATTTTGCTTAAGTTTAATATGAAATAAATTCAAGTAAGAGGCGTAGGATAAATTAATAAAAGGTGCTTAATTATGGAAAGATTAACATGATCTAAATGAGACCTGATAACCAAAATAAGAAAAGAAACAATTATTTAAAAATTCATAAACACATGAGTTTAAAGTGTACGGATATCATTTTCTTTCGTGGGATTTCGCGGCCGATGCTGTTAGAATCCAAAGTGGTTTTTGGCGCCAATCAATCGCGTCGTCAGCTAGAGACTCAGGCTAACCACTTAAGATGCTTCATTTAAGTATGGACATTTTTGTATGGCAGCTATCTCCAGCTAATGACGGAAAGCTACTATGGATTCCATATGCGTCTCGCTTGAAGAAGCAGAGTATATTGTTGAAGGAAAATTAAAGCATCAAAATATGAACACAAAACTATTTATCAATAATATTATGTTGAAAGCCAATTTTTACATTCTAAATGTTTTGGATACTGTGATCTAAACTTACCCATTTTACACTCAGAACGCACGTTACTTTCAAGTGTGTCCATCTGAATCTGAATTCTCTTGTATTCCCGCTCCGCTTGAGTGGACTTCCTACGATAGACAACCAGTACGATGACAAACAAAAGCAGCAGACTGATTGTTCCCGTGGCAATCCCAGCTATGGCTTCTGGAGGAATGGCGTATGGACGGATCATTTCATAGCGAAGATAGCCAATTGGGAACCTCAAGAACTTGCCAACTCGAACCTGAAACATTCACTTCATTTAAACTGTTGCCTAAAGATTTAATTTAAAATCTTAGTCTTCAGATAAAACTCTATCTATAGTAATATAAAATGGTCTTGTTTAGGGATCACCACTCGTATAATCAATATGTATCTATAAGGTTAGAATTATCATCTAAGTATCATCTTCACATCTTAAAAACTCGTTAATGGTGGATCCATCTGGTTTTTATGACATTTTAAAAGTGGCAAATCTTCATGTTCAAGTTCCAAGACCAAAATATCTTACCTACGAAATTTCTCCTTGACTAAGGTCAAAGAAGACTCAAAAATAATAATTTAACTTAGTGGTCGACCATGACGATTGCAGCATTAAGCTACAAAAATGAGAACAAAGGTCACAGAATATAATATATCAAATACACTAATAATCAAAAAGACACCTAAAATATAAAATATTTAAACTTAAAAACAAAATTTCAGATGGATACTCTAAGTCTTATTGAGATATTTACCACAACTAAGGGAAGTCCTGTGTCAGTTTTGACTCCCAATTCATCGGTAGGCTGAGGTTGACTTTCTGGAGGTGAACACACGAGTTGTGTTGATGCCAATGATGTCACGTTACAAGCTAAGGTTCCTATAGTTACATTCACATCTGACTCGTCACTGGCCAAGTTCAAATTTTCTCCCTGGAATCAAACAGAATTTCATATTTTAAATTGCATATAGATCAATAGTCGAGGTCTGCAGTACAGAAAATTAAAGGTCGTACAGTTCGGTACGGTATAATATTTTGTTACTTGGTTCTTGGTACAAAATTGGTACGGTACGCAGCTACCAGAATTTTTGCGGTTTTCTTCTCAGAGTTGTATTTAAACCATTATTTTAAATTTTAATACATTGACATTACTATGAAAATGGTTAGTAACCTACCTCATGTTTTATTAACAACAATTACTGTGCCACACATTATTAAAACCTTTTACTCCTAAGAGGATTGTGTCAAGAAAGAAACACAGTTAAGATAAAAGGCTTTACCTATTTTACTCTGAGATACTCTGAATAGCCATGATAAAGTGGATTTAAAATTAGGTAAAGAATTTAGAATTTTTAGGAATAAACATGTTTCAAGTAACAATTTGACAAGATAATTTCACTCAACTGGTAAATTATTTCCAACCAACACAATATCTATGGTAAATGTTTTTTAAACTTTTAAAAACATATCAATGCATTCTGTACGAAGACAGTGTAGTTGCCAGATATTCACATTCAACAGACGACAATGAAAAACTGGGGGTTATGATGAAGTAATTGTAAAGAGCATCTTTTTTATCAGCTTCAAAAATAATTATAAGATGGATACAACTCTTGCAAAGCTTTTTCTGAAACTAAAAATTGGATTGGCCCAGAGTAAGAATATTTTCTTTTCATTTGCAAAGTTAACATCGACACATATCAGTCATAAGTTTATCTTAGGCTTAATTCAATTTTCATAGTATATTTTAACGCTCTTCCAAAGAATCATAAGACCCAGGCCTAGACTAATTATTTAGGGGGGTCTATATAAATTGAGTGTAAAACAACGATTTTAACAATGAGGGTAGCAAAGTCACTATTAAAGTCTCATAAAGTACTTACATCACAATAAAAAAATATAGGAAACAAAATACATTTAAAACCTGAACAGCCACATCCAACAATATAAGACAAGATACAGAACATGACAATGACATAATTTGAGACCAAATAGACTTGCATAAGGAAAAACAAAACTAATGCAAACGCTTGTGGTTTTTGTAGTGTATTATTTATTTTAAATCTCAAATCTTATATTTTGTCTATGTAATTCTGATAGTTACAGGTATTAAATTTGCTAGCTCAATAAGTAATTAATATTATAATAGGCTGTACCGAACCAAATTTGTACTGCATAAAATGCTGTACCGAACCGACGACGGTAATTAAACCAGAACGTACCATACAGACTTTTTCGGTGCACCGCAGATGCCTAATTAACAGTAAATACATGTAATTCAATACCCAACATTCAAACACTGCTGTTTGATTTTTATACAAAGGTGGTTTATTGAAGACCACCAACAAGTGGCATTGTGCTTCAAATAGTATATTAAGTTACTAGTCCTGAAAATAAGTGTTTACCGGACGAGTGTGGTTGTTCTCGTGCGAGTCGGGATTACCATACAAGTCCAGTACACACAATTTGGACGAGTTACGTACGACAGTTTACGCCATACTACTAAATCTGTACAGATCCTTATATATTTCTACCAACTAAAGGACTAAAAATATAACATCTAAGAGAGGTTATGTTTTTGTTTATAACCACTCATTGCCACCTAAATACAGTATAATCAGCTGATTGGTGTCCGGTAAAACTCATTACAGTACAGTAGTACGCAATGAAACCCCATTTGAATAAGCTGGTGGCAAACAGCTGTTTTCTGGACTAAATCCTTGCGTGGGAAGTTCGTCAAAATAATGTAGTGTGGCGTAAAATCATTTATGAAAGAAGTGTAGGAGACTTATACTCAATATACTCAAAATTAAATTTGCCTATACTTGTAAAAAATTCTTTAATTAAATTTGAATCTTATCTGGCTCAAATGCTTACCTCGATTACCAGTGTGTCTCCCTTGTACAGTTTTATATCATTCGGGAACTCAAAGAACTTCGGATCTTCCAAGTACAGCAGATGTGGCCGGAGGTTTTTGAAGTGTTTTTCTAAGTCACTTACAGCTTCAACATGGTCCATAATGAATCCGATTTTAAGTGACAAATGGTTCTCGTGAAACTTGTTTGGTAGTGAACGCTCGGCTCGGCGCATTCCTTTAGTAAACTCTTTGTTAACAGCTGGAGAGGGGCATTCCATCTGGGCAGGGTTTAGAACAAAGCATTCCTACAAAAAATAAATAAACATAGGATTAGTCTGTAGCTCAATCTCATTGGTTCAGTTCCGATTCCAATAGCTTGAAGTGCTAAAACAAATATTTTTTACTAGTGAAAATATTAAGTTTGAAAATAAATGAATATTTGGGTCGATACCAAAAATGTTTTGATTCTCAACACCGATACAATTTTTTTAGTTTTGCCAAATCTTTAGATTGAATTGATTATACTACACCAAACCCTATAAGTCCTCCTAATATTTTTGTGGGATAGGTGTTTTTCAACTAAAGACACAATTAATAAAAAATCCTAACCAGCCAGCTTAAGTGGAAACCCTTCTAAATACATGAAATGAATACCATATTCAAGGTAAATGAAGATAATTTTAAAATATAAAAATAATAAATGTTCTTGAAAGTTGAGGCGTGTGCCAGCCTGAGATTTTCCATCAAGCCAAAATCAAGGGGATAGCCTACTATATCGTCTCTCGCGATCACGGTAAAATATCTCCCACAGTGGTGTGGACATCATCATTGTCTCCCACGATCGTGGTAAAACCACGAACATCTCCCAGGGTCATGCTTGATCATTGTTTGCTGACATTGTTGTTGATTAATTTAGGTGACAGTGTTGTTGTTTTGTTCGCAGCAAAATTCTGATCATCTACCGTGGTTGAGTGGACATCATGATTAAAAAAAAGTTATTAATTATCTGGATCATCTCCCACAACAACAAGATAGTGAGATTCTGTCCCAAAAATCCTTAACTATTCAGATCCAGGCTAAAAACAAAAACATAAATTTGATATGTTCTAAATATTTATACCTCCAACATCCAAATTCAGCTTAAATTAAACAAATGCTGAAGTTGTGATAGCGTAGGCAAATAAATGGGTGTTACTAAATATGAGATTCGATTCTCAAATTCGAATACCTTCAAGAGATTCAGTGGATTCATGATTTGGATTTGACAAACCACTATTAAACATACTATTTATAGTTTGCCCAAGCTAAAAACACCATTAAATACATACAAAATACATGGATGACATTAAACTATTATTGCCTGACTAAATAAAAGTCAGTGTTTCAAGGACGACTAGAAGCGTTAAATTACTTAAACACACACTGCTTACAGAGAAACAAACAAAAAGAGGATGTAGATGAGTCCGGAACTAGTTTAAAAAACTATATAAATTTTCTAGTAGCCTATTGCTTATTAAAAATATGAAAGACAACAATATAAACTTACAGATTTATTGATGGGGTTGAGGCTTGAGTCTGTATAAACAACCATCTCCGGTTTCTGAATAGTATCGAGGTTTGTGCCGTGCACTGTGATCATTCTACCACCGGATACAAAACTCTTGAGTGGTTTTATCTCCATAACTTTAGGGTCTTGCATGTAAGTGAATGGAGCATTTTGTCCATCCCTGGCGCTCAGAGTTCTGTTGGCTCCGTCGATGGAGAGAACTAAGGAATTTATCTGTAATGGAGAAAAATAGTGTAACATAGTTAATTTTACAAGGAAAATAAAGAAATTATTTATATATATGATTAGCATGGACAACAAAGATATTATTTTAATATATAGTTGAGAAATTAAATATCAGTTAAAACCCTGGAGAATTTTTTTTCTTCTAAGGTTGGCAGCCACTTAGGCGCCCTTTTGGCATTTTCCCTTCAACGAACAGTGAAAGTTTATGAATGGAACATGTCAATCAAAGCTTTAGAGTGATTTAAACGTAAAAAAGTGAACTACTGTATATCTGTAAATCTGTAATGGTTACAATTAATAAACTACGGACACTTGAGATTCAGCAAGAGCTTAAGACTGATAGACTGAGATAAGGGTAACAAAAAAAAAGGGCAAAGGAAATATAGGCAGTCTGAGGTCACCTTGCGGAGGTTGGGAGAGCGGGAAGTGATGCAGGTGAGTCTTGTACTGGAGGCCTGTGTGGCATTGACGTGACAAGGCAGCTCGTCCAAGTAGACGGTCACTCTGCTGCCAATGTTGAGGAATTGACCAGTGAGAGCCAACTGTGTACCTCCACTCTGTGGCCCGACCACCGGGGATACTCCCTCCACTTGTACATTCTACACACAACAAAGTGTCCAGGTCATACAAACAATAATACTTTAAATCATATAATCAGTCTGAATTATTAACTCGCTCAATAAGGATTCTGATACCTAAGTAAATCAGACGTTCCTACAATAGTCTAGTCCTTAGGGATAGGGACCTACATAAACCAATGTACTCTTTGATCCAGATAAAATAAAATATTTGTAATAGAAGTTATTTGTGACTAGCAAAGAAAAAATTTGGATGTAAAATCTGTTATTTGACCACACAGAAAATAGTTTTTCCCTACACTGCATGGAAATGATCAAATTGCCATACCTGTTACCAGTACGCAAAATAGACTATTTGCCGCTCTAGAGTGAAACTGACATACAGATAGCGTTTCTGGACCCACCACAGCGGTGGATCCGGTACGTTAGTTAACAACCGGTAAGAAATTACATTACATAATTCTTGAGTGTGGTGGATTGCATGAGAAATATTAATATATTTTGTTCTTACTGTCTACGCAATCAGGGGTGATATTGCATTACGGCCGTTTCGGAGATAGCTCCCAACTTCAGGTGTGTAGTGGTACACTAATCTTGTCTTGTTGTTACACTACGAAAAGTCTTCATTTGCATTGCGTCAGGGGTTGAATACATATTAAACATATAAAAACAGGACGGACATCCGATAATATACTAAAACATTTAGAGCACAAGCACGGCTTAAAAACTGACTACCGAGTGCACTATCCCCCCTAATTGCATAGACGGTAAGAACAAATATATTATTAAATAACATTAGATAACTTTAAAAAAGCAAACATAACCTAAATGACATTTAATAAACATCTAAAAATTTACTCTGTGTGTTATTACAAGTTATTTATGGTGGTAGGAAAAATCTTGTATGTATTACAAGCACAGTCATTGTCGCTCTCAAAGTGAGCTCAGCTAAATCTTCTTGAGGCTATCTACAGTTCTCAAGCGGCAGTGACGTACTTTGCGCTCTTAATACACAAAAAGCTATATTCTACCACTGCATGAAAAGATCCAATTGTAACACCTGTAAACAGTACACAAAATAGCTCATTTCCACTCTGTTCATTCTCGCTTGCGTTTGCGAGTGAGAATGACTATTCCCGCTTGCTAATGAATAATCAGCTGACTTCACTGGCATTTTTGTAAAACACTAACATCCGGTTAGTAAATAACAACCTAAAAAAAGAACATAACCTAAATGACATTTAATATAGGACTAAAAGTTAATCTCTATGTTATGACAAGTTAATTATGGTGATAGGAAAATTTTTGTGTGTATTATGAGCACAAAAAGTCATTGCTGCTCTCGAAATGTATGGCCGCACTTAACTAAAGCAATAACGTACTTTGTGCTCTTAATACACAAATAGCCATTGTCAGTGGATTGTATACCGAGTATCTGACCCTCATGGTAAAGAAACAGTAATATAGATTCTTTTCCTGATATGTATCAAGTTTACCTTATAACTAAAGTGGACAGATGACTCAGTAAAGCCAGCCTGGTTTCCTATGATGACAGAGGCTTCTTTCTCCACATCAGAGGGCCCTGTCTGACAGGTTATCTTGACTGACACTTCGTACTCCACCAGAGTACAAGGAGTATCTCCGATGTGGATTTTTCCTCTAACATCCTCCTCCTTCAGTCCGAGGTTGCTTCCCTCAATAGTGACAAAGGTCCCCCCTTCAACTGGGCCACTCAGCGGTTTTATCTAAAGTAATTAGAATGATTCGGTTAGTCTATACTTTTTGAGTACAAAACTAACATTGGAGATTTGCAAAACTAATATGTAATAATATTAAGGATTTATTTGCATGCATCATTGGTCATAGATGTTCCTAGTAGTGCATATTAAGCAATCCCTCAAAATCAGGAAGACTATTTTTAGAATTTGTCAGGTGAACAACTGTATTTGCCATGGACAATTTGACTGCAGCTTGGATAAATTTAATTTCAGTGGCATTGGCCAACCTTGAACTCTAAAAACACTCAAAAGAACAATAGCATTGGCAAAAATGTGTTTTTAAAAATGTTGTTGGTTTTAGCGTCTCCTAGGTGGTGATACACAATGAGCCGATTTTAAACTAAAATAATGCTGAGCTGGTGTGAACAAGTAGCCAAGTTGTTAAACACAGAAAAGTGGCCAATGGTACTGGTCATGCAAGCGGCAGACACAACTGAAGTGGAAACAATTCCAAGGAGTATATGTACAACTAATGTAACAATGTACAATGTAAGGAGTACATGTATGACAAGGAGTACATGTATGTAAACAATGTAAGGAGTATATGTATTGTATGTAAGGAGTATATGTAACACAGACAGCCCAACCAAGCATTTACTTACGAGTTACGGCACACACTTTTGCTTATTAATAAATCTATTTTTAATTAATCTCTGATTTGTTAACCGTTTATCGCTCAGCTCTCAATTGAAAGTTTTGATGAAATCAATACCAAGTATACCAACAATTACACCATTATGTCGTATTCTGATAAAGTATATTATCTAACAATATTTAAGAGGGTAACCCGGTCAATTCAAGATGGCGGCTAAACATGCTAATGTTCCTGAAGATGCCTACGGCACAAGCTCTCAACATATCAGAGTTTGCAGTGGGTTGAGAAAAAATAATTTTTAACTATTATTTAGAAGTTAAAATCGCATCTGAAAAATACTAATTTACGGATTTTCAAAATGATTTTGTAAATACTTAAAGAAACAATTACGAAGTTCCAGTTCAGCCAGTGCATAGTTTGGATCCTTGAGAATATTTTACAGTTTATTTAAACTCGATTAACATGTTAATAATGCCAGGAGGTTCTTTTTTGTAGGACCATGTTTACCTGGTAAACAGCCGGAGGGTGGAACCCTCTTAACAACATTGTGGGAAAAATTATGACATGGAAACTAAAGTACACAATCATTTTTGATAGATTCTCAATAGCCTACACCAAAGATTAAAGATGCACAATTTAGCAAACAAATTAGTTGAGCAAATATGTGTAAAAAAAGGTTAACAGATGTCAATATTTTTTTAGAGGATAACTATGCTTACTAAGGCTGGTCTTAGCAAAATTTCACAAGCCAAACCAATGCTAATCAAAGCCAAAGTTCTACAAGACGGTTTTTGAGCTAATCTAAAATGTAAAGTAGGCCTACTCTGTTACAACAAAATCCAAACATTGGTGAAATCCTGAACACCTAAGGATTTAGTGCCGTGGACAACTGATAGATAAGATATTATGGTTAGATCAACATACAGATAAGCATTTTTTTTTATTGAAAGCTGATGACCAACATTAATGAAACAGAAGTGAATTCCAAGTTGTTTTAAAGTTTTATAGTCTATAATTAAGTGTAACTTATCTTGTTTATAATAACACAATCAACTGTACCAGTAGTAAAAAATATCAATACCTACTTCAACATTACTATTTACTAAGCTCTTGCAAAGTGGTTATTAAACACATTTTTTTTTTTTTTACGCCACATTTATGTCAAAAAGTGAAGTTAAGTGGGCGAGTTTACATATCCACAAACATCACAATCAAAACTTGCAAACTATACCTGTTCAAGCAATACTAATCATAACTTTTAATTTTCTATAATAAAACTAACATGACCTACCAACTGGTCATACAACATACATCAAAAGAGAATGATTTCCCTTATGTGAAATATTAACAGCTAAAAAACTTTAAAATCTTAAACACACTTTAGAAAAATATAGAAAAAATACCTCTGTATGAGGGAAGAAATGTCATTCTGAAATTTGTTAGTTTTGGTTGAACATAAGAAAAATTATGCACCTTATCCATGCAGTATTTTGGCTTAAGGAGTAAAAAATATGCTTTAGAAATATTAGAAGCCAAAAGGAAAAGATAGCAAAAGTTGCACCATTTATATCTTGCCCAACTGATATCTGATAAATTAAGGCTATATATATTTAGGGAATACAGTTTTATCTACTAATACCAGGTGTTTACAAACAAATATTGGGGTTTTAGAGCTTTACATTAAACTTACACTTGCTAATCAAATTAAAGAGGAACTCGAATAGTTTTGTCCTAAGACTTACAAGTGTTGGACGTGGGCACCAATTCAAGCACAAATCAAGCTGTTAACGTACAGGAAGTTCATACTAACTAGTGGAGGCACATACAAACTGTGTTTTAATGAACCCCCAAAGGTATAAATCACAGTCTGTCACTACTGGGTACAGTGAAATTAAACTAATCATGACTAACCATATACTGGCAAAACCATGCGTCCACGATCAGAATTATCATTTGGCACAGCTTTTGTTTCTTTTTTTTGTGCGCGTATATTCTATTTGTGTATGGTTTGTGATGAACCTTCAGCATGATCGTAGAGTGTTAAAACCCCAAGAATCATTTAGTAACACCTGTATATTCGAGTGCTATTTTAAACATACCATATCTATGCGGGGCCGAGGACATTCAGTGGCAGGTATCTGTTGACAGGTGTCGCTATAGCTGCAAGTGTTAGCGCACCACGTACAGTGGTACTTGGAGTGACGAGTGACACACAACGAGCAGTCAGGGTGTTCTCTATGAGACCCGAGGATGTCACACTTGTACAACGTCACTGTCACAGTGTCCACGTGATGGTTGCGGTTCCACACCATGCTGATGCTGGCATCGTACTCCCCCGTGTTGGCTTCGTAAGAGTACTGTTAAATAGAAATAGCATTAGCAATCCATGATATTTTAGCTAAAGTATTCTTTTAGTGTTCTTAAAAGGTTGTTAAAAGGTCAAGGAACAACCTGGCCAGCGTCCCTTAAGAATCTTTCTGAAAATTTTTAGCAGAAAATAAAGATTTACTAGTTGGAAAATCCTTGTTACTTAGTTGAGTTAAGCAACTGTGAAAAACTTCTATCAACAAGAGCTACATTTCTTTGACTTGGCCTTTTACCTGTTATGTGTAACGGCTATAAAATTATTTAATAGCATTCACAAGTTTTGTTAGCGGTACTCTCTATTTTAGCCAAAAAACATAGGTAACCAAAGTATTTATGTCTAACGTGAAAAGATTCTATCAACAAGAACTACATTTCTTTGACTTGGCCTTTTACCTGTTATGTGTAAAGGCTCTAAAATTATTTAATAGCATTCACAAGTTTTGTTACCGGTACTCTCTATTTTAGCCAAAAAACTTAAGTAACCAAAGAATTTATGTCTAACATGTACCTATTATGTCCTCACATATTTAACTAGTGAGGTGGAGTTTAAAAATTAGTACTTTTATACTCCTTTATTAATATTTTTATTTCAGTTTTAACTAATAATACATGTACTGTGTGAATGTTCCTTAATCAAAGGAAAAACTGCCAAACTTGTAGGACTAGAGTTGTTGGTAATTTTAATAACTCATTATCCATTTATAAATTAGTAAAAAAATTCTGTAAATTAGAAAATAGTGAAAACTAAAAACGGGTCAGGTGTTAATTCATATTTACAGATCGTTAAATTAAGATTTCATCAATAATTAGATTTAGCTGAAAATTACTATTGGAACAGCCAAAGAGCAAGAAGTAAGAGGGCTATAAAATCTTGGTTCTTTTGTATAAAAAATATGTTGGAAAAATAAATAATTAACCTTGAAACAGCAGTCTTTCTATGAACAGTTCACAGCTAGCAAAATAATGTTTGTGAATTTCTTCTTTTGTCATAGAAAATCAAACAAAAGTTTGCCTTAAGCTTTGCCATCAGTCATTTTCCAAACCGGTACTTAGTATAGAGAAAAATAATCTTGGTAAATGAAACTATATTGTGCGATGAATAGAGAAATGCTCACGGATTTCCATACACACACTGTGGGAGCCACAGCTTTAAAACAAAATTTTTCCAAAACTTTTGTAAACAAATACAATTAAGTTTGATGACCTACCATGGTTTTATCACAGACAATAAACTGGTTGGCCTCTACTCGAGCAGGCACCATCATCTTGGCCCCCTCTATGGTGACAATACACTGGAAACCTGTGTGTCCAGGCTGAGGATGAGGCAGATTCTCAACCTCCAGAACAATCTCCTTAGGAACACTGTTGGGAAGCAGAATCTTTTGCTTTGGATGTCGGAACCGTGGGCAGGAATTCACACCGTGATTGGTCAGCTGGGTCGGGTTCTGAAAAAATTATACATAAATTTTATATACGTAATAAAATACTGAGAAATCATGTTATTCCTTTGCATGGAAAACATTATTCAAACTCACAAAGAAGGCTGTTTAGAATGGTTTCAAGTAAGATTGTCTACTGGTTTTGTATTAAAAAAAAAAATTTTGAGAACAGCTATAGGCCTAAAGCAGCAGCATATTTTCAGTAGTGATGGTCGGATCCGGATATCGGACTACCGGATCCGTCGGATCCGAGCTAGAACCGGCACCGGATCAGATCCAAACAATTCCGGATCTTGGGCTGGATCCGGTTTTGATGGATCCGATTTTTTCCGATTTTCCCCAATTTTTCTACTAACACAAAGCTATCTGTATCCATGTAAAAGACCGATTTTCCCCCGATTATTTACTCAATGACACAGTGCTGTATATTACGACATCAATAACCTGTATGGTTAGGCAATGTCACAGTATTGTATATTACGACGTCAATAACCTCTATGGTTGGGCAATGTCACAGTACTGTATATTACGACGTCAATAACCTGTATGGTTGTGCAATGTCACAGTACTGTATAATTACGACGTCAATAACCTCTATGGTTAGGCAATTTCACAGTACTGTATATTACGACGCCAATAACCTGTATGGTTGGGCAATGTCACAGTACTGTATATTACGACGTCAATAACCTCTATGGTTGGGTAATGTCACAGTACTGTATATTACGACGTCAATAACCTGTATGGTTGGGCAATGTCACAGTACTGTATATTACGACGTCAATAACCTGTATGGTTAGGCAATGTCACAGTACTGTATATTACGATGTCAATAACCTCTATAGTTGTGCAATGTCACAGTACTGTATATTACGACGTCAATAACCTGTATGGTTGGGCAATGTCACAGTACTGTATATTACGACGTCAATAACCTGTATGGTTGTGCAATGTCACAGTACTGTATATTACGACGTCAATAACCTCTATGGTTGGGCGATGTCACAGTACTGTATATTACAACGTCAATAACCTCTATGGTTGGGTAATGTCACAGTACTGTATATTACGACGTCAATAACCTGTATGGTTAGGGTTAGGCAATGTCACAGTACTGTATATTACGACTAGGGATGTGTCGAATCAACCGAATCTTAAGAAAAGATTGGGATTTGAGAATATATTTTTTTAGAATAGAATTATGAGGCATATACTGTAACATTGACTAACCATTAGGTCGTTATATACAGTACTGTGACATTGCCCAACCATACAGGTTATTGACGTCGTAATATACAGTACTGTGACATTGCCCAACCATAGAGGTTATTGACATCGTAATATAAAGTACTGTGACATTGCCTAACCATACAGGTTATTGACGTCGTAATATACAGTACTGTGACATGACGTCGTAATATACAGTTCTGTGACATTGCCCAACCATAGAGGTTATTGACATCGTAATATAAAGTACTGTGACATTGCTTAACCATACAGGTTATTGACGTCGTAATATACAGTACTGTGACATTGCCTAACCATACAGGTTATTGACGTCGTAATATATAGTACTGTGACATTGCCCAACCATAGAAGTTATTGACGTCTTAATATACAGTACTGTGACATTGCCCAACCATACAGGTTATTGACGTCGTAATATACAGTACTGTGACATTGCCCTACCATAGAGGTTATTGACGTCGTAATATAAAGTACTGTGACATTGCCTAACCATACAGGTTATTGACGTCGTAATATACAGTACTGTGACATTGCCCAACCATGGAGGTTATTGACATCGTAATATAAAGTACTGTGACATTGCCTAACCATACAGGTTATTGACGTCGTAATATACAGTACTGTGACATTGCCCAACCATACAGGTTATTGACGTCGTAATATACAGTACTGTGACATTGCCTAACCATACAGGTTATTGACGTCGTAATATATAGTACTGTGACATTGCCCAACCATAGAAGTTATTGACGTTGTAATATACAGTACTGTGACATTGCCCAACCATACAGGTTATTGACGTCGTAATATACAGTACTGTGACATTGCCTAACCATACAGGTTATTGACGTCGTAATATATAGTACTGTGACATTGCCTAACCATACAGGTTATTGACGTCGTAATATATAGTAGGGGTCTGCGGGTCAGACTTTTTTGGTTCGGGTCGGGTCGGGTCGGGCCGATAATTTTGGTCCTCGGGTTTCGGGCCAAAATCGGGTCGGGCCAAAAATTATTAATTACCAGATTTTTTTCTTTTTTTAACTCCTATCTGTGTTTATAATATTACTTAAAAATAACATATGAAAAACGATTGTATTTATGTATATTATTTCATGTTCATAACTTATTTACAGCTTAGGAGTTGCCTCAACTGCAAGAAAGAAGAAAATATTTTTTTTTATCAAGCCATTCTTTCCCATTTTCATAACTGTTGAAATATCTAAACAGCTATATTACAACAAGTTTGTAATGGAACTTAATATAAAAGGATCATAAACAAATCAATTAACCTTATCTCAAGTTTAGGGCCTGTGGACTGGCTTAAAGACTGCAAGCAAGAAGAAAATAAAAATTCTATGTTTCCACCATGCAATATGAATCATTCATTCCCTGCCTCCTAACCTCCTAAGTATAAAAACCTCACACTTACAATAGCATTATTAGTTACATCATCATAAATAAAGAATTATTTATTATTGGCATTACTAGGCCTACAGCTTTACATAGGAATTATTTTTTATAGGGCCTAAAATAGTAATAGACTAAGCAACATGACAAGTGGAGAACTCATTGAAGAAAAGATTGTGAGTAAACTAATTCACTTTAAAAACTCTAAAACAGTAAATAACACACATACATTGTTTATGGTATAGTTTAGTTAGTTATAGTAAAGACTGTAAAAATTGCATATATCATGTCATACACAGTTAAAGACCTACGGTATTGCAAGAGATTAAAATCCTAAAACAACTGATTTTAGCTAATAAATGAAAAGAATTAAAAATCCATAAACTCAAGTCAAACAATATCACAATAATTAGGTACCTGAAAAGGAACTCTTAATATATAGAAAATTATATTAAATCAAGAGAAAAGAAAGTTAAATGCTAATTTGGCAACATAAGCAGACAGCAGAGACATTATAGTGTCCTAATTAGCAACACAACTCAATGTTTTTATACTGTAAGTCGATGTTTTTGAAACTGTAGGGTCTTTTTCTCGGAAGGAAGGGGGAAGGGTAGTAGAATGTAAACAAAAAACCATGAACCACTCTCACAGCCAGGCCCGGGGACACTCAAGGTTACAGACCCTCCCCCTCCCCTCCCCGCCCCTCTTACACAACCAGAGCCAGGCCCGGGGACACTCAAGGTCATAGACCCTCCCCCTCCCCCACCCCTATTACACCACCCGATTGTTCCAATTGCTGACAAAATGCAAGTAACAAGACAAGGAAGTAGAGACAAAAAGGAAAAAGATATATTTTCTTTATTCAAAAATATAAAACTGTTACAGATAATTTCCAAAGAAATTAATTCATGGTAGTTTGTGTCTTGTAAATATTGTATTGGATCTTAGAAATATCTTTTTTGAAACTCAATCTAACTTAAGAAAAAAATAATTTTACTGATAAAAACTTTCATAAAATTTTAAAATATTTAGGCCTAACCTCTTTGTAGACTTGCTGATACTTGATACTTAAAAAAAAATTAAATGGTGACCATACAATGCCGAACCAGACGATCAGAAGTGTTGTTTTGTTTTGTTACTGAATGACAAAAAGGACACAGGAAAATAAAAGAACAAGATACAGATCTGTACACTATATCAGATATTTCTTTTGTTTATAATTTATTATGTAAATAAAATACTAAAATATATTTTAAACTAGGTATGGAATAAACAATAAATAATTAAACTGGTACCTCTGGATAAATAGTCTTTCTTTTGACTTTGTTTTCTTTGCACTGTTGCGTCACGGCTTTTGTTTTGTCAGTAGACGACTGGCTCTGGCTAGTGACAGTACGGCATTTGCTCTGTTGTGTCTTTGTTCTTAAACGTGAGCAAACTTAATATTTAATTATAATTTTAACGTTTTAATTCCTCTGTAATGATATATATAAGAGTGTTTCTTTGAAAATTACTTATTATAACTTTGAAAATAATAATTTTTTTTTTTGGCCCGACCCGATCTTGGCCCGAAAAAATCTCTGACCCGACCCGGTCTCTCGGGCCTTCCGCTGGCCCGACCCGACCCGAAAAAATCGGGGACCCGCAGACCCCTAATATATAGTACTGTGACATTGCCCAACCATAGAAGTTATTGACGTTGTAATATACAGTACTGTGACATTGCCCAACCATACAGGTTATTGACGTCGTAATATACAGTACTGTGACATTGCCTAACCATACAGGTTATTGACGTCGTAATATATAGTACTGTGACATTGCCCAACCATAGAAGTTAATGACGTCGTAATATACAGTACTGTGACATTGCCCTACCATAGAGGTTATTGGCGTCGTAATATACAGTACTGTGACATTGCCCATCCATACAGGTTATTGGCGTCGTAATATACAGTACTGTGGCATTGCCTAACCATACAGGTTATTGACGTTGTAGGTAACATACAGTACTGTGACATTGCCCAACTAATATCATCAAACTAATAGTTTTATTTTAAGATTTGGAAAAGTTTTAGTGTCCCTAAAAAATGAGGGATTATGGGCTCAACTGGTGATTACTCTATATATAAGATATATTAACCTTTAAACTTTACCAATTTAATTTTAAACAGTATGATTTGAATTGGCATTCTGTTAATTACGTGTTTTTTAACAAGCCCTTATGACAGTGTGTATCTGGATCCGGATCCGAATATCCGGATCCACATTTTTCAAGATCCGGATCCGGATCCGGTACCGACATTTTCTTGGATCCGCCCATCACTAATTTTCAGAGTAAAAAAATGTCAAAATACTGGTTGAATTTTTTGAAACTAACCTCCTGAAACAGACAGACAGAGAAAATTTTTAAAAACATTATTAGTGTATGATATTTTATTTTAATTCAGTCAGACAAAACATATTAATCAAGTTTTCAAAAACTAATACCGTACCTGTACTAGCCTATGTGGATAAGGTAACAATTGAATTAAGTCTTAGGACGACTCTATAACTTAAAAACTAATAGAGATGTCACAACCAAATTTGGCAAATCATTATTGGTGATAGTAAACTACTACCTAAGACTTAATCGTCAAACTGTATTTAAAATGGCTCTTTAATTAACTCATTTTGTGATGTATTTTTTTCCTCATGAACAAATTACCAACACAAAAAATGAATACCTACATTTACTGTATTTAATATTTGCTGTTTATTGTGAAACTAATTATGCTATAAAAACTAATTTAAATACTACCAGATAATGTTTAAGCCATTACAGCAGCGAACAAACAACTTACGTTTTCCCCACTGATGATTGTCCGCTGGCAAGTTGATGTGTTGTGTGTGCACTTGTTCTCATACACACACCAGTTGCAAGCCCACTGAGCTTGAACACAGTCAGAACACTTGGTGTGCATCGCACAGTCGTAATAGGCAAAGTTGCGGGACACAAAGTCTTTGTTGGTCTCGGAGGAACGCACAGAGAGAGGGACAAGAACATGGTCTTGGCCGGAGGGGATGGAGGGGCGAGAGGAGACAGGAGGCGTGGAGCAAGACAGGCCGAGTGCCGTCACTCCAGCATCTATTGGCTCGGCACCTCCAAACACACATCGGTACTTTGCTCCAGCCGGCAACTCTGGCAGAGTGCGTATCGTTAACTGAACCTACAAATCAAACAGAACCGTATAATAACACGTAGCCGCAAAAAAATGTATTATAAATAATATCTTGAATTAAACATACAATGTTTGAAGTAAGCAACATAGCCAGTATTGTACAACATGTACTGACTATTACTCGCATGCTGTTTAGATAAATATCATTGCTCAATAAGGGTCCCAGCACTTACATGCTATATGCACTACAAGCTTGCAAATTAGCTAAAACTAGGGGTTAGAAAATTGTTATCTAATTGACATTTTGATTGGAAGTGAAAAAAACAGTTCCATGGCCCAAGGGCGCAAGCAACAGACACTAATTGGATGATATATTAAATTGCGTGTCAGTAGAATCCTCCTCACAGATGTTTATACACCTCTATAGTCAATGGTATTTATATCACTCTATGTTCCGCCTTATCTTTATTTGTAGGCTATTCATTTTTTGTGAGATTTTTCCATTACTCACCAATGTCAGTTCCTTTTGTCAAATCGGGTGAGAAACATATTATAATTGGTTAGTGAATAAAGCTACTGCCGTGTTTTTTGCTTATGACTTTAATTACGTTCCACGAGTTTTATTTTACATTGTAATATCACACCCTTTATCTCTGAAATGAGCAAAAAAAAAGTGGCAATGACTTTAGAAAGAGGGCGGCAAAAAAATTTGGGACAGTAAAAAAGCGTTACAAAAATGTCCTTATAGCATCATTAAATTAATTTACGCCTAATGAACATGTGTACAGAGAAAGTGATGTAACCCTAAAAATGAACTTTGATGATGTTATTACTTTTAAAAATGTACGCTTGGCAATATAAATGTTTATCTAAGTCAAAGTTAAACTTATTGTACCTATATTTAATTAATTTATGGCTTACTATATAATACGGGTAATTTTATTAACAATCAAAAGTAAACACAATTAACGAGCATTATCGTTTTTATGTTGTAGATGCGAACTCGTAAAATTCCTATTTTCATTTTATGATTCAAATCAATGTCGGCAGGGGCCCAACTACCCCTTGGGCCTGAGTGAAAATATCAGATTTGTAAAATGGTTGATTCTATTCACAGTAAACAGTTGAAAAGAAATCAAACCTTTGACATACTACTGTAGAAAGATTACTTGTCACCAAACCAATATGATATATATAAAGAGCTATTAACGAACATTTAAAAAAAATTATAAAATGTATAGCTACATTGTTTTTGGTGACACATCGCTTTAGTATCAGTAAATAATATTATTTTTGAAAATATGGCTTCAAATATTTTTTTACAAAATCCTTAACCTTATGTTCAAAAAGGTTATTTATCAACCTTATGTTTGGTTAAAGAAGAAGCTAAATTTTTAAATAGAATTAAGGGCTAGCAGCTTATGTGCAGACAAAGTAGACTCTCTTTGTCTACATAATCCCTCAGTGGATCAAATATTGTGTATTTTCTTTGTCTTATATAACTTAACTGGAATTTTTCTACAGCCAACTAGATGCTGTCCCCTTATTCTACAAATCTCAATCTTGGCCTAGAGCCTTTCCTTGGACAAAATTATATGGTAAAATTATCGGTTTGTGAAAGTTGTAATTCAGCAAACAAATTATATTCATGTCTTTAGGCATACAGTAGAGTCCCGTTAGTCCGAAATGGTTGGGACCGGACCCATTTCGGATTACCAAATATTTCGGATTAATTTTTATTTTATTTTTTAAAATGTTTTCTTTCTTAGGACGCTAGGCAGGAGCTTGGGATTGTTTTTCACATTACTTAAGGCTAGACCTAGTGGCTGCAGCATTATCACTTATTAATAAAATCCATTTGTGATTTGGCGGGATTGGAACCTGGGACGAAAATGAAAAATGTTAATAACAAAAATGGTGAAATATTTAATAAAATACCTACTCTACAAAAAAAATCTATCTCGCCTGGCCGCTACAGAATACTTTGAGGAGGTACAGCTAACTGTGTTAAAAGTTAAATAAAAAAATGTAAAAAAAAAATATTTTTTGGTTTCGGATTAAGCGGACTTTCGGATTACCGAAGTTCGGATTATCGGGACTCCACTGTACTATACTCTGAAATGAATTACCAAAAAACATTAAGCCCCAAACCCCAAAATCAAAATTCTATTTTCATATAAAACAATGTAGGCTAACTATCAACTGTTAACTGGTTTACCGTGGTCATCTGAGTTACTGGGATACGGTCGGGTAGAATCTGCTCAAAATCAATGCATTGCTGTCCTGTGCCAAGAGACAACCACCGAGGAGAGCTGTGACTGGCCTTCTGACAAGCACTTCTTACTGTACACCTGAAAAACACATTCCTTTCCTACATTAGAGCACTGCACTGTTTATGTACGATTAAAATAAGTCAAATATATTATTAAAGTTGGTATAAGGCAATAAGTAGAAAAAACTTATATATGTTGTGATTGACCATAAAGCATTTACTAAAATTATGGTTAAAATAAAATTTACTATCGATAGAAAGTAAATAAAAATTGAAAACACAATAGAGTTTTGCCATTTATAACACATAAGGTAGAATTAAAAGTAGATTAAAAAGTTTTAGATTTGTTTACATTTTGTTGTGTTTGGTAAACTATCTTATAATTTAATATCAAACTAAGGACATAATCATTTAATGTTAATGTGTGTAAACCTGAGACTATTTATCGAGCCGAGTCCAACCTGAGCTCTTGGAAAAAAACTCAAACCTCAAGTTGTTTTCTAGCTAAGCTATTTATATAGTAAATACATTTTACGCAATGCCATAAAATAAGTTATTTTACAATTAAAATTGGGAGGATTAAGAATATTCCTTTTCCTTTTTCCTATTAAAAAACAGAAAACTGTTACAGATTATTTTCAAAGAGGACTACCTCAATCGAATGGCTGTGGCTTGGCTAGATGGCGTGCGTTAGGCCTAGGTGTGGCAAAGAGTGAATGTGTGTGTTTATGCGTATGTTAGGGACAAATATTTGTCACCTTAGTTTTTACTTAATTTTAAGTGTTATAAAAACGTATTGTTTAGTTTATATTTAGTGTATAAGAGGTTAACTGTAAGAAAGGACCATGTGGTCCTAATGTTCACCTCAATAAAAAAGTATTTTCATTTAATTTAATTTTAATTTTAATTAATTTCATTTCAAAGAGATTAATTCATGGTAGTTTCTTTGTATTTACTTGTGTCTTTGTGTTCAAATACTTGTGTTATTCATTGGGAGATTCCTGTCTAATACAACATTTAGGTATGTTTTAATGCAATATAAATATGTTAATTAGTAATTACCATAATTTACAACTGTCTTGTATTTTAATACCCTTTCCTATTCAATAGTATTTGGCAGATTAACCACGATTTTACGTATCCAGGAAGCCACAACCCTACTTTATCCCTGTTATTAATCAGGAGTTGAGTGTAGGCTAAAAACAAGTTATTTATATATAAAAAAGAAGTTTAAAATATAATTAATTATACTGCAGCCATTGATTTATACAAGATTATACAATTGTACTAAACAATAAACATGATATACAAATTTTTAATCCCCAAGCATAATCAAGTTGGATATAATTATGGCTCAGTTTGACAATTAGTAGACTAATGTATTTTAAATTAAAGAATTTTGAGATAAGTTTTTATGGAGTACGTTGGTCATGACAAAACAAATAGGCCACCTACAACATTAACAATACTAAGAATAGTAGCCTAAATGACTAAGCTCCAAACTTACCGCCTCTCCAAAGAACACCATCCACAATATGGGTCCTTAGCTTCCAAACACGAAGAACAATTTGTATAACTGCTACAATGCTCTAGTGGCACTTTTAGCACCTGAAAATAAATTTATATTAATTTTAGGCAGATATACAGGATAGAACAAGAATCAAGAATTTATTACAACAAATTACAAAAAGAACATTTTGTATAGTTGAGGTCAATATGATAGTAACTTAGGCTAAGAAGTCTGAATAATCTGCCAAGATAAAATGTCCAGTGGATAGCATATAATTAGGGCCTATAAGATTCAATAACTTAGGCTACAAATAATTTAAACAACAATGTAAGTTACACATGTAAGGCCTACATCAGTCAGACATAAAAAGGGTGATTTAATAACTAGCAAAAAAAGTTTACTTTTAAATAACTTAAGATCAATACAGTATGTTTCAGCTGGCAAATGATTAAACATTTTTAACCCTATATAAGAGAAGGATTCTTGGGACTTTGTTAGGCTGACTAAAGGTAATTCTAAATTATTCCTGTGTCTAGTAAAATGAATATGTGAATGTGATCTTAAAGCTACAGAATTAATATTTACTTTTACATAAACAAGACACACATAAATAAATAAATTAAAAACAGTGAGTATTTTTTCTTGAATAAACAAGGGTTTGCAATAGGCTCTGTACTTAGAAAAAGTAATGATTCTTAAAGCCTTCTTTTGTAGGAGCAAGATTCTGCTAACATCATAACCATAGCCCCACAGTAAAATGCCATAGCTTAAAATACTATTAACACGTTCGCTGCTGACCGCTAGATGCCGGGACGGCGCCAGGAGCTGAACTAACGTTCGGCCGCTGCGTGACATTGCCGCCGATACACTGAATTACAGTAAAAACAACAGTAGTTATACTGGATGGCAATGTTCTGCAATAAAACTGGCTTTGGACATAGTACTAAGTGATTCTGATAGATAGCAGCTACTACCCAGGTTGCAGTCGGTAAAGTAGTGTCGCTATCTAGCAGGAAAGAGGTGGGACAAAGCCCTGTTCCAAACGACCCTGGTGGCGATTTTGGGAAACTATATTATTTATTGTCAGAAAAGTACGTCCCCACGAGCTGCAAAGAAATATACGACGCTTGTGACGAGCTGGCTTATCCATGGAAACGTTAAACAACAATGAAAGGTGAAGTTCCGGAACGTTCCTAGCTCCTGGCACCGTGGCCAGGCTGACGTTCTGGAACGTCCGTAGCAGCGAACATGTTAAAGAAGGCAAAGTAGGCCATTCAAAGGTAGGTCTAGGGAGATATTTTTTAAGCTTGCAGAGTAAGTAAATAACTCTTGAGAGCCTACTACAAACATGGTCAATGTGCACACTCCAGCCTAATTTAGAATCCAGGTATATACCCAATAATTTAACATTATCACAGAGTTGAGGAAAGTTTAAATCATGGTTACTTAAACTAAATAAAATAGATTGAGTCTTACTATTATTTAATAGAAACCCGCTACTTTAAAACCAATCTTTACATTCAATGAGACAGTTGGACATATGAACATTAAGGTTATCTAAACTGTGATTAGGTCTACTGCAGAAAAAAGGTGAATCATCAGCAAAAATTATACAATTACAATTAACATTAAGAGGCAAGTCATTAATTACAACTAACAATAGAAATGGACCAAGGACCGATCCCTGGGGCACGCCACTCTTCACTTCTGTCACCTCAGAGAGCTTATTGCTGTACAAGACTTTCTGTGTGCGGTTGGCCAAATAATGATGGTAATGATGGATGGGATATAAGTTTGGTTTTAATCAATTTCATCTAAAATTCTAGGTACTTAAGATTTTCATTACTTTTTAAGTTCCTGTAAGCTTTTGTTAATTTATACACTCTTTGTGTATCAACCTTTGCAATAAATAGTTAGTTATTGTACTTAAGGTGTTTTGATCGTGCTTTATCTACTGCTGTTATTTATATACCATTGTGAAAATGTGCAAATGAATAATTCCTAATAGTAATGTGAGATCTATAATCTTGCCTTGAATTATGATGAAAAAAAAAGAATCTTGTCTCAAACTTAAAATCCAGTCTCGCCCATCCCTAATTTGACTACTCGTTACTTTAAGTTTACGGTTTATTTGTAATCTAATTAGAAAGATCTATATTATATTTATATTACATGGACATTATCCACACAAGAATACAAACAAAGTACGTGATTTAAGTATGTAACCTGTGTTTTATTAAGAAATTAACCACAAATTATGTTTTTATGTTAGGAAGAAGTTGGTTATTTTAATGTAATGAAAGACATGCAAATAATAATTATATACAAATTAAAAAAAAAATCACATAAATGTTGAGAAAATAGTCCAACCTTTGTAGTAGTAAGGACATAGAGAAACTCTTTGTTAGGAGCAACAGCAGTGTCTGGAAGAATAGCTGAGTCTTTGTCTATAATCATTTCATCATACTCCGTAGCTACTCCTGGACTCGTAGCAAGTACCTGATACAAACAAATTCATTATATACTTAACATAGATAGATTTAACATTTCATTTGTTGTACTTAATTTATGTACAGTAATAGTGTGTTGTGTCTTGTAACTTTTTGGATACCGTAATTGAACACAGTTTCAACTGAACTGCATAGCGGTATCAACCAATGGTAAAAATAATAGTATGTAGGCATTTTAAGTATATGTAGATGGTGTAAAAAGCCTTGTGCCATGGTATTAAAGTCCAAATTTTGATGTTGACTAAGTATAAATACACATACAGGGTGATTGACATAAGTGTGCCAGCTGTTTTATGTGAAAACTATAAGAGATATCAAAAAAGTTAAATGGTAAGTGCCTTGGATTTTTTATTTTAAAAATTGTAGTCAAGTCGAAAAAAATATTTTAGCCGCCATTTTTCCAATGTGGCCGCCAACTTTGATTTTTCTTATAGAACATCCTGTATTTTATGATGTATTCCGGTAGAAAATGTAATTTTAAGACAACTTTACTCTTGTGTTTTTTTTTTCATAAACCTAACCGTTTCAAAGATAATAATGGTTAAAGTTTTGAAATTTCGGCATGAGAAAGAGTTTCGATAAGAGCATTCCAGCTGTTTTATTCGAAAACTATTCGAAATTTCACAACTTTAACCATTATTATCTTTGAAACGGTTAGGTTTATGAAAAAAAAACACAAGAGTAAAATTGTCTTAAAATTACATTTTCTACCGGAAGTCATCATAAAATACAGGGTGTTCTATAAGAAAAATCAAAGTTGGTGGCCATATTGGAAAAATGGTGGCTAAAATATTTTTTTCAACTTGACTACAATTTTTAAAATAAAAATCCAAGGCACTTACCATTTAACTTTTTTTATATCTCTTATAGTTTTTGAATAAAATAGCTGGCACACTTATATCAATCACCCTGTATAAAGAAAGATATCATAAAAATATATCATCTACCTGTAGTTTTCTTTTTAAATAAAGTTGTTATTTTCCTACCAGACAATGATAAGACAATTTATCTAATATACAGGTAACTTTTGTAACTACTCTCAATTATGTCAAGATAACTAAGGGAAATATATTCTTACCTTTTTAATGATACCAGTTGAGGTTCCAACAAATATAACCAAATGTCTTTCAGTTGCTGCTAGCAGGACGGATGTCATTAGATAGTTAGGGTAGTGGATGGCAGCAGTGATAGTTATTGGCACAATGCCAGAGATTTTCAATCCCACCTCACAGAAGTTCAAGATGTTACCAGTAGACTGGAAAATAAAATCAAGATTAGAATAGAGCACACTTGGTTTACTCCTCTAAATACCAGATGACCATATAATTTGGATTTGGATTAAATGAACCACAACTTTAAATCTGCAGGTAGACCAACAGTAAAAATCTACTCATAGAAAGATTGTATGGACCTTCAATTGACTGTAGAAAAGTATGCTTATTTAAAATCATACTTGCTATATGATACGTGAACTTTGAAGCACACAAACCTCATCTTTGTTAGGATAACTAATAAATGTAATATTGGTTCTTCACCCAATCCACCGAGAGAACTGTAGTGGTTCCAAGATTATTAAATTTGTTATAACATAACTAACATGATCCCCCCTTATATAGTATAGTAAATCTACAGTGTAGTCTGTAACAAGAACAATCTGTACAAATTCTGAACAAGAAAAGGCATTACATAAAAAATAAATAAATACAGTAGTAAAAACACAAAAGAAAAATAATAGGCAGCCAAATGTACCAACAATAAAAAAACATGAACCACAAAATTTACTAGCGTAAAAATGCATTGTGTGAGAATTATTTATCGATATTAGGCTAAGTTCACAATACTTAACGCTAATATTTGGAGCTATAAAATAATATTACAAAGGCTACATTCTAGATCTTGATTATAGACACTAATAATTAAATTAGTGGAAATTACCATTGTTTGATGGAAGGAAAACAGAAGTACCTTTTTTATAGTATTGTACAATAAATCTAAGTCTAATAGTGTTTAAAAACTAAGTGTGGAGTGAAGCCAACGATCACATAAGACCAATAGATGGAGCATGTTGGCCGCGACGTGAAGCCAGTATTTTTCACTAATCTACAACAAGATGGCGGCTGCCGGCTGTAATGAGCCCTAATAGCGGGTGCAACTAATTAAATGTTAGTTTATATCAATTATATCCGTGACAATACGCCTTTGTATTATAAACATTTCTATTACTAACACAATGATCTTCAAAATACGCTTTTAATTAGTTTTCTAGCGTTTACCATTTCTTAGAAAAAGTTAATTTACATAATTAACAACAAAAACTTTTTGGGTGAAAGAAAAATTCTGAAAAGCTACAAATTAATTTATAATATATGTCTATATCGTGTTAAAGATTGATAAAGTTCTGGCGTTTGGTTTACAATGTACGAATTTTCAAATTCACAAGATAGTTTCTGAAACTCTGTATACAACTCTCCTTTATATTCTGACTGTCAATTAATTTTTATGAAAGAGCTAAAAAATATTAATTTTATAGATGAATATAAAAATAAAACAAAGTACATTTATATGTACTCCGTGATTTTCTAATTAGTTTAGTAACTTTTCTGTATAGCTCCAAACTTGAGTATCTAAACTATATTACATGTGAGGTTGCAGGCAGAATCTGCCCGCATGACGCCATGCGGCGCGGCGGGTAGCCCCTATATTACAATTTAAATTACAACCAAACTACACCAGCTAAAAATAAAAAAAAAACATGATCCAAGAAATTCAACTCTTTAGCTACAAAATCCACTGTTTTTTAACTTACCTGACCAAAAAATAAAAAAAGTAGCAGCCGACGAACTTTTTCATGCCATATTTTAAAACTCATTTAAAAGTACCGACTTTATTTGAAGATTTAAAATAGAAAATACTAACTTTTAAGCTTTTAATTGAAACCAATAGTGTCATAGACTTATTGACTTCACTCATACGAAGTTTCAACCATATAACTTAAGTCTAAGTAGGCTAAATGTCGAGTTATTTTGGAGCGGAACATTGAGTTTTGGTGCCATTTTCATCAACATCTAGCGCTTCTAACCTACAACAAGATGGCGGACCTTCACCTGCTTTAATGTTAGTTAGATAGGCGTGCTCCATCTATTGGTCTTATGTGATCGTTGAGTGAAGCAAAGGGAGCAGACACCCATTGTGCTGCCATTCAACATCATTGGACAGTTTGTATTGTGACTGGCCTAAGTAAAATATAATGTTTTTCAATGACAAAATAGCCCCTATTTTATTAAAATCATGACAACTATTTGCTGAGTATTGTTTTATTGCTATCCAACTTATTAATTTTTGAGAATCAATTTTTGATACTAACCCCAGCAGTCGGGCAGTTCCCATCAAGGATCATTCCAGAGATATATCCCATGTTTCTATACTTGGTACTACCATTAAAGCACATGTGTATGTTTTCGTTGAATTTCGCTTCAATCTCTTGGAGACTGTAGATGCAGATAGCTGACTTTGGGAGAGGATCGCTCGTGATTGTACGACTAGGCGAGAATGTACCTACAAGGATATGGTCACCAGGGTCAATACCGAGGGAGAGGGCAATATCTTCACTGGAAACTGTCACTTTGGCATCTTGGATGAGATTATAATTTATAACAGTGTTTTCATCTTTCACAACACACTGTAATGTCACTTCTGTGTAACTGTCGTAGTTAGCATCGTTGATACACACTCGGGCTAACCTAGTCACATATCCTAATTCTTCCTGTCCAGGTAAATGAGACTGTTTTTGAACTATCACGAAGTAGGCAAAGTCACTAGAATTAAAACCATAAACATATTTAACGAGAAAATGGTCTCTATATTTGACGTCTATCCTCAAAAGAGATTGCTTCGAGAAGGAGTATTCAGCGATATCTAGATTATAAAGGCTTCTGCTGGCGATGGCAGGAACATCGTGACGGAACTCTCCGTTGTTGGTGAAGGTGGTGCCCACATACAAGACATTAGAGCGCCCCCACTGATTGTAGTTCTCGGGCCCGATGAAGGCATAAGTCGATGCAGTCTCGTCATTGGCAGCGATGCTCATGGGTATGAATTGACTTTGAAGAGAAATGTTCGACAATTTGAATTTTTCACAGGCTCCTTGAGAAACAGACCCACAAGCGATTAAAGACTTTGATTCAGAATCGATTACCATAATCTTGTTCACATTATCTGTTAAAGACCTTTCGATATCATCCGAGCTACAGCCGCTAGCGTGGCATAGTGCGCTGTCTTCCTTGGGACCCGTGACAACACACTCTTCCACATTGAGCTTAGCGTCCAGTTGGACCAGGCGATTGGTGCCTCCCACATAAAGTTTCCCGGTGGCACGATCCACGACCAGATGTTGCAACCGCTTGATATGCGAAGACGAGCAGTTGCCCGCCACGGTGGTCGGAAACTGAGTTATGATGGGAGAGCTTCCGCCAGCTACTGCTACCAGAACAGAGAGGGCTACGGCAATGATCAGTACGCCCATTCTGTGCCCTCCCCGTGGACTCACGTGGTGATGCCAGCACGCCACCACCTAAAACAACAAACAGAGTGAAATAATCAAACACTACTAATTGTAGCTATACTATGTATAAATATCTTTAACTTTGAGTAAATTAATTTAAAGAAACATTTAACCGTTAATACAATTTTAAAATCCTGCAGCTAAAACTGAAAAAGTCACAATAAATATTGGTTTGTTAAACTATTTAATAACAGACATTTTTAAATATTAGCTTATTTATTTTTCAGCTGAGTTCATCCATTCATTCAGTTTTTTCAATTAGCCTAAAAAAAGTAAAAATAAAGAGTTCACACAAGACACCACCAAATTTAGTTAATTACAGAATAGGAATTATTTACTTAATAGAAATTATTTAGACATCACAAAGACAAAATAACAAATCTCACTATCCCTACGGTTATAATTAGTAGGCCTAACAATCTCTGATTTAATCTTAAACCAATAGACATACCGACATTTTACTACCTGATCACATACAGGGATTTTCTTCTTTTTAGCGAATTTCTCTATAGGGAAGTAGCTATTACCATAGGTGGCACGGTAAGACCTAGGCCCGGGACTAATTTACTTTTTCATTTTGATGTCCAGAGGCCAAAAACACCATTCATTCAAATTTTTAAATATATATGTGTCCGTGAATACGATAACTTGAGTAATTTTTGTCCGATTTTGATTAAATTTGGTTTAAAGGTGTAAGGCGGGATAAACTTACATAAGTTCGCGAACCAGCATGATCTGATTGTGGGAACGGGGTTTTACGGGGGGGTCTTATGGGGTAAAAATTGGGTTTTCTCATTTTTGACCCTCAAAACACAAAATTTCCCAATTTCTCTCCAAACCTTTTTAAAGAGCTTAAAAAAACAACAAGTAATTATATTTGGTATATTATCAAAGTGTTTTGTATGGTTATTGGTAAGGGAGAAAATTCAAAAAGTTTTAAATTTAAAATTCCCATGTTATTTTTATGGAGAATATTGTGAAATGTTGTAGTTTGCTTGTTTATGGATATATATTTTGACCAAACTTGGCAAATTTATTTATTTTATACTAAGCTTAATACTTTACTAAAAATCACACGTAGAAGCAAATCTAGGAACTCGTTAAAAACCTAATGTTAGATAAATAGATTTAATTGAAAATCAATTCAGACAAATGGAAATAGGCTTAGCCGGCAGGATTACTGCGTCAGGGGTATTTTACTTTCTTAGTGAATTACAAAAATAGCTATTATTTCCTTACAGATTTTTATTTTGTCTCAAATTATTTATCTTCCTCCTCAGAAAGATTAGAAGACAATTATATAATAATATATACCAGTCTTTTTTACTAGACCGTAAACAAGACGGTCACAGCTTTTTGACACAAAACTTATCCCAAATGTCTCAATAGTTACTGATATTTTTCTTTTCTAAAAGAGGATACTCAACCAAAGAAACTAAAAATACATGCAATAGATATTGCATTTGCACAGAAAAAAAATATTGACCTGACAAATGCTGTGATTCTTGAGTTAAGTATCCTGGGCAAAATAGAGTAAAATGTGAAAGTACTAGCTGGTATCAAGCAGCGTAGATCAACCTTGAAAACTCACAATAACTGTCCATGTAACTAAGTGTCTTAATGGTAAATATATAAAGTAACAAAACTGTAATACTACTCAAGTGTTCCAACTAGTGAAAAACCATCAAGTAAAAACTGAAAAGTTAAGAATACCAGCTCCATAAAAGTGAATAAAAAATTAAAATTAAAAATCACTACACAAGTGTTAGAGACTGGCGAGAGTTACAGTTGTCAGGATTTAAGTTACACTAGATCCAATTAATGTTCAATTTAATTAGCAAGCTTGGCTTGACATAATCCCTTTTCTGTTTCATAAGTATCAAACTCTCCTCTCAAAGCAAAATTTTAAACAATCCATTTCCAAACTGGTCACTTTCAGGATATAATTTCAACAATGAATTTAAGTAGGCCTAACATGTTTTAATACCAAACATAAAAAAGTTCAATTTTTGTTGAAAAAAATTGACTATGTAAGCTACCCAACTTATTGTAGCCTAATCTTACAAATTTTACTGTGATATAATTTTTTATTTTTCTCACAGAATTTAGGTGCGCAATGTAAATTTATAGTTCCACTAGCTGTGTGCCCGTTCTACGCACGGGGATCTTATAGTGGTCAGTTGAAACCTTCCTATATAAAGAACAGCAGTTGGTTTTCATATTTTCAGATATGCTGGCCAAACTATTATATATAAACAAATACAGTATCTGACAGTTTCAAGTAAAAAAAGGCGTAACAGATCTATGAGGGATACACTTACATATCTGTTGGCACAAACAACCAAATGAGTAATATTGATTATTCTATTGTTTAATTCGATATATCATTTGGTTAGTTAGGTTAGGTTAACCTTACCTAACTAACCAAACGATATATAGTTAAAATACTATACCTCAACCTCTCCATTAAACATTCAGGTTGGAAATTTCACTATCGAAGGTGCTCTTGTCCTGTCCGTACGGAACACTGAGTAATATGCGCTACCAACTTATGAATAATTGTTTAGGCCTACGAACCCAAGAGATGGGCAATTGGTCTATTGGCTGTATGGTCCAGCGAGCAGCACATAACGTTGAGAAGACACATTGGAAAAGCGATTTGAGCATAATCCGTATACCTCTGTTACAATCACCCACTGCAGTTGTCACTTTACACTTTACACAACCACCATTGAAGTGCCGTCAATGAGTTGAAACCTTTTATGTAAGCTATTGGTAACGCTTATGTAAAAAATGTAAGTTTCCCAGCCATATACAATTCTGATTCAAGGTATTTTTCCCGGATATCAAAACTCAAGACAAATTTTATACAAAAAGAATCTCTATTTTCATTTACGGTTACCCTACACATTATTGCACTTGCGATTAATTAAATCCGTTATGTAAGTAAAAACGGTTTTAATCCAACTTGGTTTGGATTTGCTTTTGAAACGTGATCGGAAATGATTGTGGTATTTGTAAACAACATTCAATGTAAACATATCAGTGACAGCTAGAGAAAAATTATCTTGATCCAAACAGCTGTTCACTATTTCATAGATGATTATGTGATAAACATTGGGAGAAAACTTGACAAAAATCGCACAAAATTGGGTTTTTAAACGTCCGTAAGTTTATTTACAAAGTAGTAAGGCCATAATTTAATAGCTAAAGACACTCTCGCCAATCCAGTGAATACATTAAAATGATTCGGATCTTGATAGGTACTCTCGTTTTTCAGGAGAAGGCCGCGTAAAATGGTTCTTGGGCCGTGACAGACGGAAGACAGACAGACAGAAATTGAGATGAGACTTGACTAGAGGCTTGATAAATACAAAATAACTTAATCTTTAGTAAACATCCTGGAGAGTTTAGCGTATTGTTCCCATAGCCGAGCGTGGGAGCGGAAAAGCCGAGATTCCTAGAAAGCGGCGGTCAAAGCCAACTGCTCTTAAGACAAGGTCGGTTAAAACAAACTGTAATATTTAACTAGCAAGGGCGGATAATCTGGTTAATGCAAGGTCGGTTAAGAAGGGGTCTATTGTATTGGGTTTTAAATAGGCTACCAGAATTAACAGTCTTCCTACAGGTTTTAAAAGAAAACTTCCAGAACAAAATAATTAATTTCCAAGGCACTTGTAGCACTCTATTCAATAAAATTTTTGAGATTTTTGGGACTTAATAATTTAGTGACTATAGAATCTCATTATTTAATCCAACCTAGGGAGGTCCGCATGGGCTCAAGATCATTTAATCATAGAAATTTGAACGCATGTAATATATTTTACAGTGCCCTGAATCAATGTTCAATGGAATCAATTTTTAAACTGTTCCTATCATTTCATCAAAACCAAACCAGTTATTCAAATTCAAATTCAAATAGTTTATTGCCATTAAGTATACATGTCATACAATAGGCCAGGTCAATGGAGATAATATACAATTCAAAGTACAATGTACAGAGTCAAGTGTAAATAGATGAACATGCTATACTAATAAACTAATAATACTGGGTTTTTGTACAAAAGTATTTGAGATGTATTGATAATGATGATAATAATACTGTTTATAGTTAAGCAAACAAGTTGGGTAAGTGCCTATAACAAAATAATTAAGGCTAAAATTGGCAGTAAGATACAGCTTAAAACTAAATAACAATAAATTTTTAAATAAAGTTCACAGAAATAACATTATTATGAAAGACTATTATATCACAGTTCATGAAACCATTATTACATACTTTAGAAACAATACCCTACTTAACAATTAGAATTTTACAGAAAATCATCATGTTTGAAAGATAAAAATTCCTCGATAGAATAGATAACCTTTCTGTTCAAAAAATCGGTCAATACATTTTTCAGTGACTTAATAGGCAAGTTGCGTACATTTTCAGGGAGGGCATTGAAAAGTTTAAGTTGTAAATATTTATAGCTGCGCTGTGTTGAGGCCAGTCTTAATGATGGTAACTCTAAATTATTCCTTAGTCTGGTGTAATGATTGTGAGTTAATGAGCGAGATGAGAATTGTTCAATATTTGTTTTTACAAAAATGATATTCTGCAAAATGTACACACTTGGTAAAGTAAGAATTTTGTATTCAGGAAAAAAGGTCTTACAACTAACTCTACTTTTTATGCCAGCTAGGATACGGATTGCTTTTTCTGTTTTTTAAAAACGTTAACTGCCCCACTACTACTGCCCCACAAAATTACCCCATAAACTAAGTGACAATGAAAGAATGCATAATAAACATTAATTAACATACTTAAACTAACATGATTTTTCAACCTCCTGAGCAGAAACAAAGAGTTACTTAACCTTGCAACAACCATTTCAATATGACTACGCCAAGATAACTTACAGTCTAATATGATTCCTAGCAGTTTAGCATTTGATACTTCAGATACAAGATTTGTCTGTGAAAAAATAATTGAAACAGTTTTGTCATTGTTTACTGAAAATTTATTT